AATGGGTCTATTTTTTTTTTTTGCTTTGTTTTAAGACTTGCAAATTATTGATTGGTCCTGCCTAGGAGCCAGGTAGTGACCTTTATAGACAGGAAATCAAGCAAAAACAAAACAAAAAATACAGGTCTGGGAACAATGTGAGCTGAGTCTCTACACAATGTGTATAAGCTCTTTGCAACTCAGGTCAGCCCGGTGGAGGATTCCAGTATGCAACTAGAAATGTGGGCAGGAAGAGAGACATCATGATAGAAGAAAGGTGATTTGGGATTATCCAATAGACATAATTGGTAAAGTCATGAAAGGGAAACAGATTGCTAGAAAAAGGGCAGATAGCCACAGAAGAAGAAAAAGTAAGGGTCATGGGGCACAGTAGGTAGGGCATTTACCTTGCAAGTGGCCTACCCGAGGTTTGAGTCCCAGAATCCCATATGGGAACTGGAGCGATAGTATAGTGAGTAGGGTGTTTGCCTTGCACGCAGATGACTTGAATTTGATCCCCGGCATCCCAGATGGTTCCCCAAGAACTGCCTGCAGTAATTCCTGAGTACAGAACCAGGAGTAACTCCTGAGCATTGCTCAGTGTGACCCAAAAAGAAAAAAAAAAAAGAATCCCACATGGTTCCCTGAGACCTTCAGGAGTAATTCCTGAGTGCAGAGCCAGGAGTAGCTCCACAGCGGGGTGTGACTCAAAGCAAAATAATAATAATAATAATAATAACAACAACAATAATAACAACAAAAAAGTAAGGGTCAGGAACAGGATTTAAGAAACAGCAGCATTTAGGGGCTGGAGCGATAGCACAGTGGGTAGGGCATTTGCCTTACACATAGCTGACCCAAGGTTTGATTCCCAGCATCCCTGTGGTTCCCTGAGCACCACCAGGGGTAATTCCTGAGTGCAGAGCCAGGAATAACCCTTGTGCATCACCAGGTGTGATCCAAAAAGCAAAAAAAGAAAAGAAAAGAAAAGAAAAGAAACAATAGCATTTAAAAAAAAAGAAGAAAAAGAAAGAAACAGCAGTATCAGAAGGGCAAAATGACAGAAAACCCAGAAAAGGCATAGGCAGAAATATGGACATAAGACAGAGGAGGTGCCAAAGAGTTAGTACAGGGAAGAATGTAGGAAGGTTCTTGCCTTGCATGTGGTCAACCCAGGTTTGATTCCTGGTGCCAGATATTGTTCACTAAGGATTATCTATGTTTTTGAATTTTTCTTTGATTTTTTTGGGGGGGCACCCCTGGCTGTGCTCAGGGCTTACTACTGGCTCTACTCTCAGGGATCACTCCTGATAAACTAAATGGGCCATATTGGGCCATTCGGGGTGCTGGGGACTGAATCCAGGTCAGGCACTCTCAAGTGCCTTATCTGCTCTACTATCTCTCTAGCTCCAAAGAGCCATCAGGAGTGATGCTTGAGCACAGAGCCAGGAAGAAGCCCCAAGATCAGCCAGATACTCAAATAGTGAAGCTGCCAGGTTCATGCTCAGCACATTGGAACTCAGGACTGACCACACACTTGTGACGTAAGTGCTCTGAGCCAATAGGCCTACATGCAGGGTTGTTTTCCTCTCTCCTTTCTTCTTTCCTTCCTTCCTTCCTTCCTTCCTTCCTTCCTTCCTTCCTTCCTTCCTTTCTTTCTTTCTTACTCTCTTTCTCTCTTTCTCTCTTTCTTTCTTTCTGAGTCATGCTCCTGGCTCTGCACTCAAGAATTATTCCTGGCAGTACTCAGGGGACCAGATAGAATGCCAAGTGTCAAACCCAGCTTAGTTGTGTGCAAGGCAAAAGCCATATCTGCTGCACTATTGCTCTAGGCCTGTATATGCAGTTTTAAACATTGTTTATCTTTCACAATCTTTTACAAACTGTAACCTCATGTTTCTTCATATCTGGTGGCTGCAAGATGTTCTGTGTGGTCAGTATTCAAAATATTACTCATTCCTTAGAGAATTCCCCTTCTCTTGTTTTAAATCCCACTGGCATAAGTATTTTATTCCATACATATAGTTGAAACATTTCTGATCTATTTCAATAAGTTAAAATTTTTTAGATGAGAAACTCAGCTTTAGCTAAGTGTTACCTAGGTATGTTTCCAGAAGAGTTATGTCAATGTATGTTTCCCCAAAGCTTGAGCAGCGTTGGGTATTTTATTTTTACTTGGTCTAATGGCTGTTAATTGGGGCTGTACATACATAAGCCTTTAATTTGTCTTTCTCTAATTACTAAGGAAGTTGAGTCTTTTTTTAATATCTGTGTTTATTGTTTGCATTTCCTCTGGAGTGCCTATTTAATTCATAGCCACAGACACATTTGAGTGCCCACTATGTGCCAAGTGCTGTATGCCATTCTCAAGGAGGAGTGAGTCCAAGGAAATTATTTCTGAAGAGTTTTTCTTCATCTTCCCCTCTTCCATCATCACCCCACCTCAAACTGTGCCAATGAAAAATATCTTCCTCGGAGAGAAATTCAGGACTGAGTGTACATTTTCTATATGTCTTTGTCATTTCCCAGAATGATTCACCCAGATATTTCCATTTGTTTAATCTGTTATATCCTTTTATTGACATCATCTGATGTATATTTTGACCCTGAGCTTGTGAGATAGGTAAGGTAAAAATTACCACTGTGTGTCTGTAGAGACACTGTAGGGGTTCAGGCACCTGCCTTCATGGGACCAACCCAGGTTCAATCCCTGGCCTGCATGCAGTCCACTGAGCACTGTGTGTGGACTGCCAAGCACTGCCAGGTGTGACCCAACCCCTTCACACCACCCCCTTAAAAAGAATGATCATATTTTTACTGATCAAGAATCTCAGTGAGGTTACATAATTTGTCTAACGTAATATGATCAGTTAATGGGGATGTTTGGAGGTGAACCCAGGTACGGTAACACCTAGAGCAAAGTTTTCTAGATGAGTGAACAGAAAATGGAGTTCTTTCAAGCATTACCTGAAATTGTGGACTGGGCCAGAGTCTTCCTGTCAGCCATGATTAGGTTTTGGATTCTAACACAATAGAGAAAAGAGAGGTATTAGAGAAGTAGATGTTGCAATCAGTTAATGTGACTAAGGTGGTGTCTGTGGTAATCAAGTGAGAGGTAGTGAAATACAGAGACAAAGGATGTGTGTGAGGGCTGGAGAGATAGAACAGTGGATAATTGTTTTTCCTGCACTTGGCCGCCCCGGCAACCCTAAGGTCATCTGAACGCACCAGGAGTGATCTCTGAGTGCAGAACAAGAACTAAACCTTGGGCACTGTCGGGTGTGGCCACCCCCACTGCCCCCAAAAAGGATGCATTTGAGAGTCATTTTGATAGTATGGACAGGGCTTGGCCTGTGACTCAATGGCAGAATTCTTGCAGTATGAGGTCCTGGCACTGTTTGTCCCTCCCCCCTCGTTGCTCCCCCCTCCCTCAAACACTGCAGTATTTCCTGCCCATCTCAGGAAGCAACTGAGATTCCAAAATCAGGAGATTATGGCTTGTAGTTCTTGACCCCAGAGTCTGTGGGTTCCACTGCACAGAGCCACTAATAACCACAACTTAATATTAAATCTTCCATAATTATTTTTTAGCACTTGTTTTGCAAATCACTGTCGTAGTTCAAACAGCTTTCAAGACCTGAATTTCTTCCTCACTTTCAAAATGTCTAGAAGAGAAATCTGGGATAGATATGTAAGATCCTTGCCCCCACTCCTTGATTTTTGGTCCATACCTGGCGGTGCTCAGGGCTTACTCCTGGCTTCTCGCTCAGGGATGATACTGGTGGGGTTTGGGGACCATATGGGGTCTAGGGCACCAAACCCGGATCTGCTGTGGATAAGGCAGGCACCCAACCTGCTGTACAGTCGCTCCAGCCCCCATCTGTAAGATATTAAAGGTTTTAAAGTATTGGGGAACGTAAACGATAGAACCTTGGGTAAGGTGCTTGCCCTGTCTGTAGCTGACCTGGGTTTAATCCCCAGCACTCCATATGGTCCCTGAGTACAGCCAGGAGTAATTTCTAAGTGCAGAGCCAGGAATAACGCCTGAACATCACCAGGTGTGACTGCAAGACAGAAATTTTAAAGTATTTCTTTGTGGCTGATTATGCAAATGAGAAAAAAACACATTTAATTAAACAAGCACAGACTGGGGGAAGAGCATATTCCGAGGTGCATTGGTTCTCTCCTTCCTAAACTCTGGGAGAGGGAAACTCTAATACAGCTCTAAGATCATCTCCCAAAGCCAGAGGTTGACCCCATTTCTTCTCTGAGATTATTACTGAGCGTCAGGCTGGAGCAGTTCAGGAAGCTACAACAATCAGGTTCCCAAACAAAGCATCCTCAACAATAAAATGCACGCTATTCATCTCCTTCCCACTCACAACCAGAAACCCGGAGTTCGGACACAGGACTATGGGGGACGCTGTTGGTGCTGCCATCCCCCTCTGGGTCATCCTCATCCCAGCCAGACCTGGGTTTCCTGGGAATCTCAGCCTGGTGGAAAACTGACGCCCCTCTCTCTGGAGGGCGCTCCTACAGGCTGAGGACCACCTGGCCAGCCCTGGGCAGGTCAGGTTTAAGGTAAATCGAGGCTAAAGGTGAGGATTGTCAGTGCCAGGGAAGGACTGGTCTGCCCCGCCCCAAGCATGGATGCTAGAATGAGGCGAGCAGGTGGTGTAAGTGCAGGGTAGAAGGAGAGGGGCGTGGCTATAATTGGGGGTGGGGCTTGTAGGGGCGGGGGGAATGGGCGGGGCAGTGGCGAGTCCTAACTGGGATTGGAGGAGTGCCAGAAGTAGGGCGGGGCCCCGCTCCGCGCAGGCTAGCCGCTTGCGGACGCAGCGTTATAAACTGTCCTGGCGCCCGCGGCGCGGAAAGCTTGCCGCGCTGCCGCACACGTGCCGAGCCCGGCGGGAGTTCCTTGGGTTCCGGGTGCGTGCCGTCCTGTCACGAGTTCGCGTCGTCCGAGACCCCCTAACTCTTCCAAGTTCCCAAGCTCACGACCTCGACGACAGCAAAACGAAATGGTTACAGCCGTGAATTTCACCCAAGAAATGGACCTGCTGTACAGGCCCTATAAGTTCGAGGAGCTCTTGGAACTGAGTTACTATGTGCAGGAGTACTGGTGAGACGTGGGGCAGGAGAAGGCCAATACTAGGGTGGGCTCTGAGAATTGCTATCCCGGGAGCTTTGTTTGCAATGATTTTCTTAAAGAGCATACCTATTGGGCTTCCCTGTATTGGCCCCACGTTTTCAAGGTGTTAGTAGTGTAGCACTTCAGAGAGTTTAGAGAAAGGAAAGAAGGGAGGGAGAGAAGGGAAGGAGGGAGGGAGGGAGGGAGGGAGGAAGGAAAGAAGGAAGGAAGGGGAAGGGGAAGGGAAGGTTTAGACCCAGCTTCAGCCCTCTGCTCCGTGTATTTTATGCATTTACATAGGTCAGAAGAGCGGTACTAGCCTCCTTCTTTAATAAAGAGGCTTGGATCTGGGAAGATAGTTTAACAGTCTGGAGCACACCCTTTGTATGCTAGAGTCCTGGGTTTATTCCCTGACACTGCACTGAGCCAGTAGTTGCTCCTGAACACTGCTGGGTGTGATCCAGAGCCAAAATAAAACAAGAGGGCTGGAGCAATAGCACAGCGGGTAGGGCGTTTGCCTTGCACGCGGCAGACCCAGGTTCAATTCCCAGCATCCCATATGGTCCCCTGAGCACCGCCAGGGGTAATTCCTGAGCGCTGAGCCAGGAGTAACCCCTGTGCATCGCCGGATGTGACCCAAAAAGCAATAAATAAATAAATAAATAAAATAAAACAAGAAAATGTAGGCCAGTTGGATTTCTCAATGCCCAACATCCCGTGGTCCCCCTCCCTAGCACCTAGCCAGGTATAGTCCTTGAACACTACTGGGGGTGGTCTCCCACTAAATAAGTATCGCGGGCTAATACAGTAGAGTGTGTGCTTCACAGTGGGAGGCCCAAGGCCTGATCCCATGCCTTTGAAGCACTGGCTCTCGAGAACAGAGAGTGGGCATTTCTCTAACTGGACCCAGCGCTGAGCCTGGATGTGTGTCTTCTGCCTGCCAGGAGTAGCTGCTTCATCATAGTGCCCATCTACCTGCTGCTCATCCTCGTGGGGAAGGCCTACATGAAGACGCGAAAGGGCTTCAACCTGCAGAAGCCACTCATCCTCTGGTCCTTCAGCCTTTCTGTCTTCAGGTAAGATGCTCTCACCCTTTCCTCCCTGGCAGCTGTCCTATACCCTCACTCTATTCCCCAAAGCTTCCTCCAGCCTCAGCTGCATCAACTCCCATTCTGCACTCCGCCTGCCCTGAACCTTTCCCTATCCAATTGTCTCAACTCCCCAGTTCAGACAGTCCCCCCCAGTTCCCATGCTCCTCCCATGTTACCCTCTTTCTTTTCTTCTCCACAACCTAACAGCCTACTATTTCTTTTTCTTTTCTTTTCTTTTTTTTTTTTTTTTTTTTTGGTTTTTGGACCACACTCAGAAGTGCTCAGGGCTTACTCTTGACTCTTCACTCAGGGATCACTCCTGGCAGGGCTTGGGGGACCCTATGGAGTGCTGGAGATCAAAGAAACTCCCTCCTTGCTGTCCTATCACTCCTGCCCCCTAACTAGCATCTCAGAACTTGTGATCCCTCCCCCTTGGAAGGGTGGGGAGGTGGCGGAGCAGGCTGAGTTCCTGAGGATGCGCTTGACCCCCATTCTCTCCACTCCAGTATCCTGGGGGCAGTGAGAACATGGAGCTACATGGGGACGCTGTGGCACCAGTACAGCCCAAAGCACACCGTGTGCTTCTCCTTCTACACGTCCACTTCCGTTATAAAGTTCTGGTCATCCATCTTTACCTTCAGCAAGGTCATCGAACTTGGTGAGTGGCGTGGCTTTGTTTCCGTGGTGCCCACAAGGCAGCATCTCTCCTCAGGGCCCTCCCCTCCTCCCTCCCTTGGACAGTGACAGCCTTGACCAGGCCTGTGTGCTAACATCAGTATTCTCTTCCCCCGCCCCCCACCCCAATCCCAAGAGGCCATCTTGAGACAAGCCCAGAGACACCTCCCTCTGCCCTAAGACTTGCCCCTCCATGTCCCCACACCCAGAGCAGAGGGTGGGCCTCAATGCTGTGTGCTCTGCCAGCCGTGACTCTTCATCCCCCAGGAGACACGGCCTTCATCATCCTGCGCAAGCGGCCCCTCATCTTCGTGCACTGGTACCACCACAGCACCGTACTGATGTTCGCCAGCTTCGGGATGAAGCAGAAGGTGCCTGCAGGTGGCTGGTTCATGACCATGAACTTCGGGGTGCACGCCATCATGTACAGCTACTATACTCTGAAGGCGGCCCAAGTGAAGCCGCCCAAGATCCTTCCCATGCTCATCACCAGCCTTCAGATCCTGCAGATGGCGGTTGGAGTTTCCGTGAGCATCATGGCGTACATCTGGAGACAAGATTACGGCTGCTTCATGACAGAGCATGCACTCTTCTGGTCCGCCGTCCTGTACACATCCTATTTCATCCTCTTTGCCCACTTCTTCCACCGAACTTACATCATACCCAAGAGCAAAGCCAAGGTCAAGAGCCAGTGAAGGGCTGTGGAGAAATGAGCCTTGTTGCCGCCGTGTCCTCTCCTCCCTGACACTGAGGGACTGCGCTTGGGTTTGGGAGAATTATTCGGGTACCTTCTCTTCATGGTTTCCCCACAGGTGGGGCCCAACTCCCCAGATGGCAGGAAGTTATGACAGACAAGAATGTAATAACTGAGACATGAATGTAATCTAGTATTTAGATCATTCTTTCTCTTTCTCTCTCTTTTTCTTTCTTCCTGTCTGTCTTTTTTTTTTCCCTGTCTTTTTTTAATGTGAAGGCCAGGCAGGCCCTGGGGTGGGGGGTGGGGGGTGGGGAATGACTGAAGAGGCTCTCCAGAGGTAAGTTATTTAATATTCTATCCAGAAATCTTTTTTCTTCTTGCTCTAATTTTTAAAATGAAAAACATCAAGATTTTGAGTTGGAGCGATAGTACAGTGGGTAGGGTGCATGCATCCAACCCAGTTCAATCTCTGGCATCCCATATGGTCCCGTGAGCACCACTGGAAGGGATGCCTGAGCGTAGAGCAAGGAGTAAGCTCTGAGTACCGCCATCAACAACAATAAAAAAAAAATTGACTTGGGGTCCTTGGCAGTTTAGGGTCGTAAGAGGACTGTTGTGAGGGGAATGGGCTCTGGGCATGCGAGAATCCTGAGGGTGTGTGGAAAGGTGAACACACAGAGAGACAATAAGGATCCTCTGCAGGCCTGATAGGCACTTAGTAAATGTCTGTTACAGACCAGAATTTTATTTCTGTTAAAGGCCCAACCCCCTCATCGGAACAGCGAGTAACAGGTGCAGGAAAATACACACACGCACACACACACGCACACACACACACAAGAAAAAAAAACCCAACCCACCACCACCAACAAAAACAACTGAAGAAACTTATTCAAGGTTAGAGGCTTCCTAAATCATAGACTTGACACTTGCGAGCAGTCTCTATCGTCTAGACATCCTCCCTGAGACCACGAGGTGGCGCTGCAGTACCAGCTTTGCCCGCCGCCGTCGAGGAGCGTGTAACAAGTTATCAACGCGGGCGCCAGCGAGCGGGGCGGGCGTGGGGGGGGGGACGCGCCTCCTGGCTCTCGGATCCGCCCACCCCCAGCCCACCCGGCGTCCTAGAGACCGACCCCCTCCTCTTTCCCCTGCACCCTGCCCTCCTCCGGACCGTGAGAGTGCTAAGCGGGGGAGGGGGAGAGAGCGCTGCGCGGCGATCCGCAATCACCACCAGGCCTTGACTGTCCGCGCACGTTTATTTCAAGTCACTTGGAAACGGAGGGACGGGGAGGCTGGAGAAGGCGGGCCGGGCCCCGCGTGAGCCGGCCCCGGCGGGGGCAGCTGGTCCCTGTGCCTGGCCTTCGTCCCCGGGCCTCGGCCTTGTGTGCGCAGCTCTGGCCACCCGCCCTGGGGCCGGGGAGGGTCGGAGGTGGGCGTGGGGGTGGCAGGAAGACCGTCTCCCGAGCCCGCCGACCACCCCGCCGTCCAGTCCAGCAGCCCGGCCGCCCCTTCCCGACCCTCCGGGGCGGGAGCGAAGCCGGAGAGGCCAGCCGGGCGCGGGGGCGGGCGGCCGCGGCGGGGACGGTCACACCGGCCGCTCCACGGCGTACTGGCACGGGCTGAGGTTGGCGGCGGGCGGGGGTCCCGGCACGGCCGGGTAGCTGAACGAGGCGTGCTGCTTGGCCTTGAGCCGCAGGCTGGCCAGACTCGAGTTACAAGGGTCCCGGTAGACGTAGGGGGAGGAGGCGGCGGCGGCGGCGGCGGCGGCGGCCGAGGCGTAGGGACAGGACACCGCCCCGGAGGACACGGCGGCGGGCGCCAGTCCCGGGGGCCCCCCGCCCAGGCCCTGCAGGGCCGCGGGTCCCGGCACGGCGCCCGGGGCGGCCGCGGCGATGGAGCTGGGCGGCGAGAAGACGGGCTGCGACGCCAGGGGCCCCACGTTGACCGAGTTGAAGGCGAACGGGAAGGTCTTGGCGGCGAGCGGCGGGCCGAGCGCCTTGGGCGGCCAGTTGCCGTACGAGTAGCCGGGGTACACCTCCTCGTAGGGGGGCACCAGCCCCCCGAGCGGCGCCGCGAAGCCGCCCTTGCACAGCTCGGCCTGCTGGCTGCGCTCGCGCTTCCGCCACTTGGCGCGCCGGTTCTTGAACCACACCTGCGAGCCGGGATGGGGGGAGGGAGAGAGGGCGGTCAGGACCCGGGGCAGGGAGGGGGGGACCTGCTCAGAGTCGTCCCCCCCCCAACATCCGAGTTTCCCAGCCCCAGCTCAACGAGATGGAGTGACCTGGGGCACGGGGATGTGGGGGATCGCGGCGCGCATCCCGAAAGCCGAGGATAGAAGCAACGCGAGGGGTGAGGGGCACGAGTTTGGGGGCCAGGTCGGGGTGAAGAGCAAAGCCCGAGCCGCGGCCAGCAGCGCAGAAACGCGCGGTTGCGGGAGACCGGGGTTGAGGTTGTGTGGGGCAGTGGACACGCGGGATCCTGGGGTCGGAGCATGCGGGCTGCGGGCCGAGCAGCCCAGCGCCAGGAGAGGGGCTTGCAGCCCGGGCTGCTCCGTACCCGCACGCGGGCCTCGGTGAGGTTGGTCCACACGGCGATCTCTTCGCGAGTGCTCATGTCCGGGTAGCGGTTCCTCTGGAAGGTGGCCTCCAGCTCCTGCAGCTGCTGGCTGGTGAAGTGCGTGCGCTGTCGCCTCTGCTTCTTCTTCAGCGAGCCGTCTTCGGGGGAGCCTCCGGGCAGCGAAGCCGAGGCCTTCTCCGAATCTGGGGGGTGCAGGGCGGGTAATGGGGCGCCCAGGTCCCGACCGATTTTGGGCTGCGGGATCTCCCCTCCCCGCCTCCCGCTCGCTCACACCCCAGTTTCTGCTCACGGGGGTCCCCATCCCGGCTCTCCCCTCTGCCCACCAGGGGGCGCGCTCACCGCTGTGCTCTTGGCCCTTGCAGCCGTGCTCGGGCAGAGGAGGGTGCGGCGTGCCCGCGTCCGACAGCGAGAGGGCAGGGCTCCGGGCCTCCGCCTCGCTGAGCAGGCCAAACTCCATGGAGCGTGGCCTCTGGGGGAGGAGAAAACACAGACCACGTTAACAGCCATCAGATTTTCTGGATGCTTCGGTTTCTATCAGTGTTTGCTCCCAAAGTTCGATTTCCTTAATGAGCTCACTGGCATCACGCTCTGGGTGAGGACAGGACCGGGCATCCCGAAAGCCGAGGATAGACGCAATGCGAGGGGTGAGGGGAACGAGTTTGAGGGGCCATGTGGGGTGAAGAGCAAAGCCCGAGCCGCGGCCAGCAAGCGAAGAAACGCGCGGTTGCGTGAGACCGAGATTGAGGTTGTGTGGGGCAGTGGACACGCGGGATCCTGAGGTCGGAGCATGCAGGATGCGGGCCGAGCAGCCCAGCGCCAGGAGAGGGGCTTGCAGCCTGGGCTGCTCTGTACCCGCACGAGGCTCAGGCAGAGATGGGGCATGAACACTGTTCCCTGCAGCGTGATTAACTCAATGACAGTTGGTGATTGAATTACCGCAGACCACACAGTCGCACATCGTACGCCAAATACCATGTGCCAACACTTCAGTTGTCTCTTCCAGGAATGTCCAATATCCTCATAAACTCATCGATGTCCCTTGGCCAAGCATGCCTGACACCTAGGCTGGGTCTTGGCTAGTCACTCTCCTTGACACAGATTGGATTGTCCCTTCAGGCTAAATGTTATAATCCTGGTTGTCTTCATTCATAATTACTTCCACATGCCTGCCCCCTCAGTGCCTCCCTCTCCCCACCAGATTGCATCAGGATTAAGGATTATCTTCCATTTTCAGGTGAGGAAATTCAGGTAACTCCATGGACGTCACAGGTCGGAATCAGGGCTTTGTGATTTCAACATTAATACTTTTTCTTCGGGCTAGAGCGATAGCACAGCAGTAGGGCGTTTGCCTTGCAAGTGGCCAACATGGCCGACCCGAGTTCGATTCCTCCGCCCCTCTTGGAGAGTATCTCGCCCTCACAGCAAAGCCTGGCAATCTCCCTGTGATATATTCGATATGCCAAACACAGTAACAATTGTCAAAATGGAGACGTTACTGGGCCCGCTCAAGCAATCGATGAACAACGGGAGGACAGTGACAGTGACAGTGACTTTATCTTTATTTGCTTTCCTATACTGTGTTCTTTTGGGGTCCTACCTGGAAACTCCCTCTGGAACTGGACCGCCTAGCCTCAGGGATGGAATTCTAACACAGACTTGTCTGAGTCTGCTTCAGCTAGGATAAGGCTGCTAGAGTCTATTCGGTTCGATCGGCAAGAATTCATTTAAAGAAAAGGTTTGAGGAACAAAAGAAAGTTTGAGAACTAGAGAGATGGCACAGGAGTTAAAGCTCCTACCTTGGGATCAGAACGATAGTGCAACGGTAGGACGATTGCCTTGTATGCGGCAGCCGACCCTGGTTCATCCCCAGCATCCCAGATGATTGCCAGGTACCTCCACGACTGATCTCTGAGGGCAGAGCCAGGAGTAACCCTTAGGCATAAAAATAAGCAAGCAAACAAACAGAAGCTCTTGCCTTGCATACGGATGGCCTTGGTTCAATTCCTGGCACTGCATGTGGCCCCTTGAGTACTGCCAGGAGTTACTCCTGAGTACAGGAATAGCCTTGAACACCAGTGGGTGTGACCCCAAAAGTTTAAAAGAGAGAGAGAGGGGCTGGAATGATAGCACGGTAGGTTGGGCGTTTGCCTTGCATGTGGCCCGACCCGGGTTCGATTCCCAGCATCCCATATAGTCCCTGAGCATGGCCAGGAGTAATTCCTGAGTGCATGAACCAGGGGTGACCCCTGTGAATCGCTGGGTGTGACCCAAAAAGCAATAAATAAATAAATAAACTAAGAAAATAAAAGAGAGAGAGAGAGAGCTATAGCTCTTGAAGGGCAGGAGGCATGAGCAATGGCGATAGCGATAACTCAACAGCCTAAGCATATGGTTTGTATGTGGAACCTTGAAGATTGATCCCCAGTACTACATGGTCCCCTTAGCACTGCTGCAAATGACCCCCTCCCTAGAGCTTGGAATACATTCTAAACACTGCTTGGAGTGACCCCAAAACAACAAAACCCATTTTGTAGATTATCTGGGTCCTGTATGCTTCTTTTCTGGAACAGACACACACCGTATCCCACCATTCACAGGATCAATCCCTGGGGCCCTGTGCGTGCCATGCCTCCTGCCCTTCAAGCTATTTCCTTGACCCCAGACATGGGTTCCTTTATAATTTTTTTTTTTAGTGTCTTTTGGGCTACATCTGGCAATGCTCAGGAGTTACTCCTGATGGTGCCACTTGGGATGCCAGGGATTGAACCCAGGTCAGCTGCATGCAAGGTAAATGCTCTACCCACTGCACTACACATACTATCACTCCGGCCCCGAGACATAGATTTTTACTTTTTTGTTTTACTATTATTATTATTATTATTACTTTTGCTTTTGGGGTCACACCCAGCGATGCTCAAGGGTTACTCCTGGCTCTGCACTCAGGAATCACTCCTGGTGGTGCTCGGGGGACCCTATGGGGATGCTGGGAATCTAACCCAGGTCGGCCGCATGCAAGGCAAACACCCTACCCGCTGTACTATCACCCTAGCCCCAAAACATGGATTTTTTAAAGCCACTTGCTTACCCTTAGTCCCTGCCCAGACCTTGCCTGACAGTGCCCTGGAACCAACCAGGGTCCCCAGGTCGCCCCTGCAGGCCCCCCTTTTCTGCTGGTTCTCCCAGTCCCCCTCTGGTAGAAAAAAAGAAGGCTCATCCATGGGGATTCGGTTCAAGAACTCCAGGTGCCTCTTTTTGACTTCTTTTGCCTACTCTCGGCTCTGTGCTCGGGGATCATTCCCAGTGGACTTGTGGTACTGGGGATCAAACCCATACTGGCCACATGCAAGGCTAGTGCCCCACCTGCTGTACTATCTCTGTGGCCCCTCTAGACAGGAGAAGGAGGGAGCAAGGGACCAGCAAAAGGGGTGAAGAGCGAGAAGGAGGGGTTGCCTCTCCCATTAACAGACTTAATGCCGGCTGTGCAGGGCGGCATTAATGCAGTGGATTAGCCTGGATTGAGATGTGTGTCCGTTGGCTACTCTGAATTGATGAGGAGCCTTTTCAGGGCTCCGCAGATGGGCAGTAGCCTGTATTTGCTCACAGCGGGCGATGCCCCCTCCAGCCAGCTCTGAGATGACAGCAGCCCTTCCCCTTAAGCCAGACTGGGGGTGGCCCAGAGGTCAAGGAGGAGGCCCAGTTCCTGGCCTTCCCACAGGGAGAGAGACTGCAGGGCCCAGACTCTTTCCTTGGGCAGCTGGCATGGTGGGGCAACAGGGAGCCCAGGAAGGAAGGGAAGAAGGCAGAATGGGGGTGGGAGGTGCTTAGTGTCCCTCCTCTTCTAGGCCTGTTGGGAAGCAAAGTGCTGAGAGCCAGGCCCTCTAGAAACATCTCTGGCAGCCTAGATGCCTGCTCGCCCCAAACAGGTGGGGAGACTTAGCGCTGGGCGCTTCGAGATGGTGCTCTGGGGTGGTGCTCTGGGGTCTCTGTACCCAGCAGGCCCTCCACCTGAGACTTCTCTGGAGGCCTGGAGCGACCCAGAGCTGGGACAAGAGGGACATATTGGTCTGGCCTGTGTGGAGAGCGGGGTGCGACCACTCCCCACACCGGCCTTCATCCTTCCTCCAGTCTGCTTTGGCTCCGGGACATTAACATTTCCCAAGCCCCCAGCTCACCCCCCTCCTCACACACCCCCGGTTCCATACCTGTGTCTTGGTCTCACTCTTTATTTCAGCAGAAGGAGGCAAGGAGAGGAGAGGGCAGGAGCAGAGTGAGAGGAGGCCAAGCTCAGGCTGCGTGTTCCAGAGACAGACACACACACATGGGCCCCCACCCAGACAAAATAAGCACTTGGACTCGGAGTCCCAGCCCCCCCGGCCCCCATCCTCTCCCCCACACGCGCCCACATTCGGGCAGACACACACCGTCACAGTCTCCGCTCTGTGACAGGGACAGCTGCCCCGCGGTTTCAGAGCGAGCCATCCCCGCCCCCTTCTTTTCCTGCCCCTCGAATCTCAGCTCTCAGCCGGCCACTGAGGACTAGGTGGGGGGAGGAGGAGGCCAAAGGGGCCCGGGAGGTCTGCGTTCAGGGCCTGCTCGGGAGAGCCTGTTCGGCTGGGTAGGGAGAGGCATGAAATTGCCAGATGAAGAAGATTGGGGGGCCGGGGTGGGGGCAGGGAGAGAAACTGCCCTGATCATCTTAGGAAAGTGATCTGGCACAGCCCAAAGAAGTGAAATTTGGAGCCCAAAGATCTGAACCACATGCTCAGGTCCCCCCTAATTTGCAAATGACCAGTCTGGGGGCATTGCTGCATGTTTTGAAGGGTGCTCATACTCCTTTCCTACCTAGCTTCAAGATTGTTCAGATGTTAAAGAAAAACATAACATAAAAATGGCGGGGGGGCGGGATCTGGGGAGGATACAGGGGTGAAGGCACTTGACTTGCATACAGCCCATCCTGGTTTAATCCCCAACATTGCACATGGTTCTTCAAACTCCACCAGGAGTAATCCGTGAGCACAGAGCCAGGAGTAAGCCCTGAACACTGCCTGGTGTGTTCTTTACCACTCCTTCCCTATTAAAAATAGGGATAGGGATAAAACACTGGTCAAGCACTTTTTCTCACTTCTTCAATAAGTGCTTCTTTGGTTTTGGTTTATTTTGTTTGTTGGTTTGGTTTGGGAGCTATATCCAGTGATGATCAGGGCTTACTTTTAGCTCTGTGCTTAAGGATCGCTCCTGAAATGCTTATGGATTCATAAGTGATGCTTGGGCCAAACCAGGGTCAGCCACGTGCAAGGCAAATGCCAAACCAGTGTACTACCTCTCCGGCCACCAAACAAATGGTATCATCTATAATCTGGATATTGACTAAGGCACAGGTAAGGTAGATCAGACTTCACCTTTTTCTTAGTCCTTGCTGGAAGGTTTCACCCTCTAGACCCTGCATGTTTCAGTGACGAACTTCTCTGGGGAATAAAGGTGAATCTGGCCCCCACTTAAGAGAGGGTGCAAAGACATGTCGTGGGCTCTGTGTCTTGAATAGAAAGGAGGACCCAGACAATTCCTCTTTGGGGACGGGAGTCTGGAAAAAGAAAGAATGAAACCTTCAGGCTCTTGACTGGGTGTGTAAGAGCAGAGAGAGGTGAGGAGGCTGAGGAACTGTAGAGCAATAGCAGGAAGAGCAGGCAGGAGAGAGAGGCTGGAGGCACAGGCCTTAAGCAGACTCGAGTCTGGGTGGGCTGGTCAGGCAGAGGCTGGGGGCACCAAACTGCTGTCTGAGCTGGAGACAAACTGTCTGAGCATTAAGCTCCTCCAGCCTGCAGGAGGTCAGGAAGCCGGAGAGTGGGCCAGGCACTTGGTCCTCTGGGTGAACAGAGGAAACTGTAGTTTGGCAGCGGTCGACTAGTCTGAAGATTATAGGAAGTACTGGGCAAGGCCAAAGTGAGTTAAGGCTTAGAGAGGTGGCCTCAGGCCAGGGGAGAGACTCAGGGGTAAGCACTTGCCTTGAGTGTTCGAGGCCCCCAGGAGCACAGTGGTGGCTGGAGAGATGACTCAATGGGCTGAGCATATGCTTTGCATGGGTTGGATCCCTAGGTCTATGTGGTTCCCCAAAACCTCTGGAGCAACCCCTAGCACAGAGCTGGGAGTAGCCTCCCAAGCCTTCCGGATGTGTTTCAAAACCAAACCAAACCAAAACACAAAAGAACCACAATGGTGCTGAGTCTGACGCTGGCAGGAGCTGCCCTGCCCCAGTGCCAGCCTGGCTGACTCTCTGCTGGGCTGCGTGGCGAGCCCCATTGGGGTCTGGTGGCAAACCCAACCCTAGGGAAAAAAAAAACAGAAGGCCTGTGGGTGTGCACTGATTTGGAAGTCTGGACTGGAATGAGCGAAAGCTGCTGAGGACTGCAGTAGGAGAGAAGTCTGAGAGCTAGATTCAGGTGGAACCCAGAGCCAGCCAGACACCATGTAGGGAGGTTACACTTTCCAAAGGACAAAATTCACACCCAAAGACAATTGCGTGGTGGTCCCATTTTTGTCCTGAAACAGAAGGGGGTAGAGCAGGACAAGAGCCAGAGAGTCCCCCCAGTTGATGCAAGAGTAGGGCTGGGCCAGAGCTCATAAAGCTGGATCTTGTGTTTTGCAAACTGGAGCCCTGGATTTTATCCCTAGTACCACATGGTCCCCTGAGCACCCCTGAGAACCCTTCTGGGTGTAGCTGAACCCCCCCAAAAATCCCCCCCCCACACTCCCCTCCACACACAGCACAGAGCAAGCAGTTATGCTAACTAAGGCCAAGGCAGGAGGGATACCTAGAAAGGGGATGTGAGAGAACATTTTTTTTTAGAAGAAATGAAGAGGGAGGTGAGAGAGGAGGGAGCAGAGTGGAGGAATCTCAGATGAGCCAGTAGTAAGTCGGAGAGCTAGTATGTATCGGACCTGATCTGGGACAGACCTGATCTGGGACGGGTCTCCCCTAAACCTGAAAGTGAGGGCAGGCTTCCCAACATGGATCCCGAGCCTGAACCTGAGCCCCCAAACTGTCTGCTCTGCTGCAGCAAATAGGAACAGGTAAATCAGGTTTGCAGTTCCAAGAGGAAACCTCCAGCCCAGAAGCAGGCAGCCATGGTTTGGTGCACTGAACAGGGAGCCATGAGGGCCAAAGAAATACCACCGTCTCTGTGTTTTTCCTTCTCTCCTTCAGCAAATGTTAGTTGCTCAGGCTGAACTCCAAGATTAGGGGGCAAACTCTAATTTTGGGAGCCCCCAGTATGAACAGCAAGCAGCGCCTAGAGTGGAGTGATGGTTTCATGGGATGGTTTCTTAGTCTGGGTAAGCAGAGATGTGTTGTTGGGGCCTGGGGCTCAGAGAACGTTCCACATGGTGAGCTTGGATTTGGGGGGGGGGGAGCAGAGCTTCTAAATAATAAGGTAGTGAGGGGGATAAAGCAGCTATTTCTAAGGCTCCAGGGTGCCTCACTTGAACAGGGTCAGATGAGACCAACATCAGTGGGTCAATCTGAGGGAGCCTGTGACTAGGGGGTGAGGCAGAGGTTTGCAGGCTCCAGCCTCTGACTGGTCCATGAACAAAAACAAACCAGGAGAGAACATCACCCTGGCAAACTGCTGACCACTGGGCAAGTTCTCTGTGCTCTCCAGCCTTCCGTTATCCATGGAAGTGCATTTTGTATGACATTCCACACTTTGGGTAACTTCCTTTTACTAGAAAAATTGTTTTCAAACTTCCAAGTGACATCAGCACACCAGGAGGTGGGTTGGGTTTGTCCACGCAGCAACAGGCCCCTCCCACTCCAGGAGGGCCCCCCTGGGAGAAGCAGCTCACTGGCACTTTTTCTTCCACCTGTCTTCTTTTCTTTGCCCCCCCGCCCCCATATTTCTCAGGGTCTTTGTCAACGACCATGGGCTTGACACTAAATAGTCCAATAATTCAGGACCAGACCAGACGGAGGTGCAGATCCGCTCTCCGAACACCATATATGATGAGCAGAGGAGAAAGGTCTGAGGCGTGTCCTTCCCCATGTCCTCTCTGACCCAGCTCCAGTCTGTCCCTATCTACCCTCCATGGCCACATCCTTCCAGCGAGCAGACAGACATCAAACTAGGGTATTTAGCTTGGGAATGGGGAGGGGTTCGTCTCTGAGGGAGTGTGCTGGAGCTCTTCTTTGGAGAGTAGCGGGGGACGGGGACTGGCTGACGTTTGTCTGGGATGAAGCGTCCCAGCCATCACTGAGCAATTTTTTTTTGGTGACTGAACTGGGGATTCTATCAGGCTGATCCAACACTTAAAATTCCACCTGTCCAAACAAAGATTCTGTGATTACAGGGGACCTACAATTGGGATATAATAATAGCAATAATGCTTCTTATTTCTGGAGTGTTTCTTCCTTTACAAAAGATATTCATATGTATAATTTCATTGAACTCTTATCACTACCCTGAGTGGCAGAAATGATCACATCCATTTCACCTCTAAGAAGGCGAATATTTGTTCAAGATTACACAGATTGAAAAGATTTGCCTCTAGTTCTCTTCAATCCAGGGATGAGCTCTTCCCTCTGGCTCCCGCCACCCCAGCCGTCATCTGTGGCTCTGACATGCACACATCCTCCCCGGCCCTGAAGGATTCCATTTCTACTTCCTGCCTTTCCCACCTCTCTGGAAATGAGTTCTGGAAGTTAGCTGCCCACTGTGAGCCAAGGAATACTTTTCTATTCATCCTGAGCTTGCATCATTCCAATGCTGAGAGGCCCCCTCATCTCCGGTTTCAGGATTTGGGGAGCAAACAAGCCTCTGCTTATCTAGGCCTTTCCGTATTCTGTGGGTTTCCATCCTATCTCACCTTCCTGAGGCCTAAATTTTAAAACCAGCTCTCAGTATTCCTGGTTCTCCCCATTCTGTCGACTGTTTTGGGGGCCCTTCTCCAGGCCCCTGATCTCTTCGTAAGAGCCAGTTACCATGCACGCACTCAGCCCCATGGTTTTGAATAAGGATAGGGAAAGCTGTGCCCTTTGTTTCCAATCTTCTTCATTATAGTGTTGCTGCTTTATTGCCTTTTGGACAAAAGCAGAACTTTGGATTCAGGTACTCAAAGAAATATCTATAATATCTCGCCTATTTTTTTTTTTTACACAGACCTTTTCATCCACAATTTCAGAGACTTTCAATGGTGATGGCACAATAAGCTTGCTGAAAAGGGTATTAGAATGTGTGTGTGGGGGGAGAGGGGATTGGGGAGCTTGTTGGACAGTCACTATATATCAAAAGGGAGCAAGGGAGAAAAATGGGTTGAGGAACAATTGTCTAAGCAATAAAAGTAAATCTTGAAAACTGAGGCACAAGGGTGGGACACAGGAAATACAAAGTGTTACTCTCTGGGGGGTGGAGGCTTTGAAAGGTAACTTTCCCACTTGTTGAGACTGCTCCTTGCTAACCACATCACTTTCTACTTGTCCCCATGAAAACTTTGTCCCCAGTTTCTTTTTTTTTTTTCTTCCTCACTCCCTTAGACTGGGAGAGTTCTTTCTACTCTGTCCCCTTCAACCTAACTGGGTTCTGTTTGAGGGCGGGGTGGGGGTGGGGGGTGGGGGGCGGGGAGGGAGTCATCAGGTGGGAAGTCATTGAATGGGTTCAAATAACTCAGAGTCCTTTCCCAGCAACAGAGAAAACAAATCGGGCAGTGGGGTAGGCTGAGCCATTCCTTCCCTCCAGACTAGTTGGGATACACAGGTCCCACGTCGGTCCCTGGAATCTGGATCCCTTGTGTCTCTCTTCCTACTTCCTCTCAGCCTCCGTTGGTGTTGGGATTAGTGGGGATTGATGGGGTTAAGGAAGCAAAACGGAACCAAGACCAAGGTTAGCTTTGCTAAAGTGCTGCAATATTCTCTGCAGCCAGAATCCAGCACTTTCAGGGAAGAATCCGTCACTGACGCCCAGACAGGCAGTCTTGGGGGCCCCCAGTCAGCCTTGTGGGAATGAGTCTGAAGGGCAGAAGGACTCAGGCATTCAGGAGCTTGTACCGGGACCCCTCCCCTTGCCCTTTGGGGTTCATTCCTTTCTTTTCCTGGCCTTGATTTCTACGAACAGTGCCAATTACTGACTTTTCTAGAATTCTGATACTGGAAGTTCAGAGGATGCTGAGGTCTTGTCTGGGTTGAAACGGGAATGTTTGCCAACACCACCCCCAAGGCCCCCCAGTCGCAGGCGGTGGCATGCGACACAGCAGCGCAATCCCTGCTCCCCGTCCTGCAGCCCCTAGGAACAGAAGCAAGTTTGCAAAGCACGAACTGGAATTTGAGGTTGACCCACTAGAGCGAACCCCACAGCACACGTAGCAGTTGGGCAGGCGCTGCCCGGGTAGATGGACATGCCACTCGGCCAGGGACATTCTGTCCGCCGCTGCCGGACAGCGCCTGCTCCGGAGACCCACCTTTCTCGCCGCCCCGGACATTCTGTTCGCTCGGAGCCCCGCGCTCTGCGGACATTCCATCTGATTCCCAGTCGGCTCCAAGTCGGGACCCATCTGGGCCCAGACAACACCAAGCCAGACACGCCAGACCCACCGCCCGGTCGCTCGAGCTGCCATGCCTGGACGCTGCTACCCGCACCGCGGCGACCTGACCCGGTCACCGCCCGGCTCTCACGCGGCGGCTCCTCCTGTCTCAACTGCGGAGCGGTCGCGACCCAGACGCACCCTGGCTCCCAGCCCCAGAAATCTGCGTCCCCGACGGACCAGGGGCGCTTGGGACCCACAAATTGCCCCAGACTAGGAGGTGGTTCCGACAGGGCCTCGGCAAGTCCTTTCGCCCGCGGGCTGCCTGTCCCCCGAGCCCCCGGATTCCAAGGAGTTTTGCTGCAACGGTGTGCCGATTCCCAACTCCCAGCCTGTCCTGGCTTCAGGTCTCGGTTTCCCTCCCGGTCCCCATCGTCTCCCCTGCCTCTGCTCCCCGGGTCTTGAAGCGAAGTTTCCCTTTCCCCAAGTCCTAGCTCCGGCTCTGCAGTCCGTCTGCCCTGGACTCGACCCTTTCGTTCCCTAGGCACCGTTCCGCAGGTCAGCCACCCGGGTCCCGTCTTCGGTTGCCGCAAGTTCGCCCGGTGGCCCCTGGGCCCGCGAGTCCCGGTGCCCCGCATGGTCAAGCACTCACAGTGAGTCCCGAGGCAGATTGATTCCCGGCGGCGGCGGCGGCGGCGGCGGCGGCGGCCGCAGTCTGGAGGGCAGGCTGGGGCCAGGGGCCGGGCACCCGGCCGGGGTGGGGGCCACCCCCCTGCGTCCGGGCTGCCGCTGCGCTCGGACTCTCCGGGACTCGCTGAGTGAGGCAGTGAGCCTCGCCGCTCTCTGTCACCCCCCGCCGGCGCCCATTCACTTTATGGCAGCCCCGGGCGCCCCCAGCCCGCCGTGGACAGCCTCGCGCGCCGGGCCCCGCCCCCTTCCAGCTGCGAGGCCTGGGCTCCACCCCTTCCAGCTGTGAATCCCGAGGCCCCACCCCCGGGGGCGGTGCTCCGCCAATAGCCCGGCCTCCTGGCCAATCGGAGCAGCTCATCAGCAACTGAGCCACACCCCTCCCCACGTGTTCTGAAACCCGGCTCCGGCCAGAACTCGGTGAGAAAAGCTCAGTTTCCGAGACTAGTATGGACCGGGTATGCGCGGAGTCCCGACCCGCCACAGTGAGGGGGTCCAGGACGCCACTTTGAGCAAAATGGAGCAGTGCCATGTGGAGAGGTCCTTCTGGGTGCCAGGTGTGAGTGTGCACGGGCCAGGAGAGGCCTCCGGCTCTTAGCTCTCAGACTTCATTGCCGCTCAAGTTTCGCCTATTTTCTCCACTTGTCGCTGTCTGTCTCTCCACCCTTTGTCTCTGTTCCAATTCTCTCACGTCTCGCCTTTCTTTCCTTTTCTTTCTTCCCTGTCACTTTGCTTTTGCTGTTTGTCTCTGTCACTTTGAAAGACCATTTTTTTCTCTCTTTGTTCCTCATTTTTCTACATCTTTCTCTTTCTCTTATCTGCTATCTCCCAGCTCCTTCCCCACCTTCTCCTCTCCTTCCAGTAAGGTGGCTTTGGAGAGAAAGCAGAGTTTGAAATGAAACAAAGCACCATTTCGGAGTGACCTTGGACAAACCCCAAACTCCCAAATTAAAAGAGCTTCTTACTGGATGTCAAGACATGGGTTGAGCACTTCTCAGAGGCTTGCAGGATTCATCTGTCAGCCCTCACCTTTAGTTTGTCCAGATCATGCTGGTCCAGTATTTAAAAGGTTAGGCTAGCTCTTTCTTGGTGATCTAGGTTCAGTTCTGTGACCAGGGTGTGACCTTGGTGCTTGCTAGATGGAGACTTAAAAGGAACAGGACAGAAGTTCCAGGAACATGTGGAATCAGGTTGAATTGCTTGGGGTTCCCTGAACCTTGTCATGCAATATGCTCCTAAAGTAAATTTGACCTTGTCACTTATCTTCACCTTTTTTTTTTTTTTTTTTTTTTTGCGGGGAGCAGGGGGCATACATGGCAGTGCTCAGGGATCATTCCTGGCTCTGCACTCAGAGATCACTCCTGGTGGGTCTGGGGGAACCATATGGGGTGCCAGGGATCAATCCCAGGTCAGCCATTTGCAAGGCAAGTGCCCCACCCTATACCCTCACTTATTTTCTTAAAACCCGTGAATGACTCCTGATTGCCCTCAGGATGAAGATCAAGTTCCCGTGCTTTTCATACAAGACTTTCAGGACTTGACCTTGTATGGTGTGTGTGTGTGTGTGTGTGTGTGTGTGTGTGTGTGTGTGTGTGTGTGTACTCCACATCCTGCAGTGCTTGGGGGCTGCTCTGGGCAAAATGCTCTCCAACCATCTGGTACTGAGGATTAAACCTCCTGCATACATGCTCTCCAGTTCTCTGAGCTCTCCCCCCAACTTTTTTTTTTTTGTGGGAGGGGAGGTCCTCTCCAGAGGTGCTGAGGAATCAACAGTGCTACATCTGGCAGTGCTTGGGAGAACATAAAGTGCTGGAGATCAAAGTTGGGGCCCTGTGCTTGCCAGGCATGCACTTAGCCCTTTGAATTTTCTCTCCAGTTCCCTGACCTGTCTTTTGGGGGGTTTGTTTGTCTTTTGTTTTTGGAACACACCAGTGGTTCTCAGGGTTTACTCCTGGATTTTCACTCATGGGTCACTTCGGGCAGGGCTCATGGGACCAAAAAGGGTGCTGGGGATTGAAGTCAGGTGGGCCATGTGCCATGCAAACACCCTACCTGCTGTACTATCGCTCCAGCCCCGACCTGACTTTTGTCTTAATGGCCAGTCTCCTGGTGGTTTCCTGCACAATTTGCTTCTGACAGGTATTTTCAAACTGTCTTTATTTTGCTAACTCCTACTCATCCTTCTGAGCTTTACACAAGCCTTATTTTATCTGACAAGTCTTCTTGAATTCTAGGGTTTGAATATGTCTAACGTCTTGCTCCTATAACCATTGTGCATATTCTCTATGACCTTACTCACCATATTGAAAATGTCAGCTTATGTGTTAGCCTCTTATATGTTACTATACAAAATTTTAGGAGGTCAAGTACCATGTCTTTTCCTTTTTTTTTTTTTGACTTTTTGGGTCATACTCGGTGATGCTTAGGGGTTACTCCTGGCTCAGGCTCAGGAATTACTCCTGGCAGTGCTCAGGGGACCACACGGGATATTGGGGGTTGGACACATGCAAGGAAACAGCTTACCTGCTGTGCTATCGCGCTGGCCCCAGGACCATATCTTTTCATCTTTCTCTTTGTAGGCATAACATAGAAACTCAATACTGAAATCCAGGAGAGGTTGTTTGAGACCACACCTGGCGGTGCTCAAAGAAATCATATGCAGGTATGGGACTGAATCAATGTTGGCTATGTGCAAAGCAAGTTTCCTTACCCTGAGCTATTTCTCCAACCCCCATGCAGATTCATTTCTGGGGAAATGTGAGGAATTAAGTGGAGACTTGGGGAGTTTTGATTCACTTAGAGGATTTTCCAATTGGCTATTGAAGATTTCTCAATAGCAAACAGCCCAGAGACCAAACCCCGGATTTTGAAGGAATTTAGAAGATGGCTGAAATCTATGGTGGAAAGAGGTGCTTGTATCTTCTGCTTCAGCTTGACGTTTATTTTCATTCTCTCTCTTCTCTGTCTTTTCATTGTTGTTGCTGTTGTGGTGATGGGCGATATACATGCAAGCTGTGGAGCTTGCACACTCAGCCGAGTTGCTCACCAAGGTTTGCACTCTTTTAGTCATGGCACTTGCACACATGCTAACCAGGATGGGCACTGTTAGTTGAGGCAGGCATGCAAGTTACAGTTGTGGTGCTCACAAGGTCGCCGCAGTGCTCACACATGCGATCATGTGTGTGATATGATTCAGGTGATGGGGTGATATGCTATTCTGGTCATCCTTGGTATCATGATTGAACCCATGATTGCTGCAGTGTTAACACTTCCTGGCAATAACACACACATCTTTGTGTGTGTATGTGTGTGTGTGTGTGTGTGTAGGTGTAGGTGCTTTGGGCCACATCTGACAATGCTCAGGGGCTGCTCTTGGATCTGTGCCCAGGAATCACACCTATCAGTGCTTGGGGGATCCTGTGTGGTGCTGGGATTGAACCAAGGTCAGCCACATGCAAGGCAAGCACCCCATCACCTGCATTATCTCTCCAACCCTTACATCCTTATTTGTGGAGCTGCTGATCAGGGGGTCACATCCCATTTTGTAGTGTTTATACACATCTTGCTGTGGTGTGACTGGAAATCATTGTGGCGCCAGGGAATGCAAAAAGCAGAGTTGCCACATTTGAACCGCAGAACTGCCAGAATTGTGCTTGTTGTATGTGTGATTCTGGGGATTTGAACTTTTGAACATATATCTGAAAAGCAGGCATTCTAAGTCCCTGAGCCATTCCTCTGTGACCCCTAAACCTGTGAAAGAGGTAAGGTCCTCAGCTTAGTCCAGACCAGAAACCCAGTATGCAGGCACGTATAGGGAACTGTTGAGTTTTGCAGGTCCAATGTCAGTTTTGATGGGTTCTTCAGATTAAGGGAATGGGTGGTTTTAGCATATCTGGTTTTGAGGTCATATTCCTGTGGAGATATTCTGGTCATCCATGGTATCATAAATGAGAGGTAGGGAGGGGAGAATGATACACATTTTTTTCCCACTTCCTCCCACAGTCTCTCCAGATCTTCAGGGACATTTGAGCTCTATTTCAGCAGACAGGAGTCCCACCATTCACTCTGCCAGGAGAAAAATCACCTTTCCATCCTTATTCCTCATATTCTTTTCTAGACAATTTTAATATCCTGGCAACCTTGATAATCTCTCCCTCTTTTTTTGGGGGGGCCACACCTGGTGATGTTCAGGGATTACTTCTGGCTCTGTACTCAGAAATTAATTACTCTTGGTGATGCTCAGGGATTACTCCAGGCTCTGTGTTCAGGGCTCACTCCTGGATGTGTGAGTTAACCAATGTGGTGCCAGGGATTGTGGTAAGGACAGATGAAAGGCCTTTAACCCTTGTGTTGTCTCTTTGGCCTTCCAAGACCCTGTTGATGAGGACAGAACTTGGTGTGACAACCCAATAGACTAGCAGCAGAGGCAGTGAAGGCATCTGGGCAGTATTAGAGCAACTGGGATTGTCTCCCTGCTTTGCCATGAACTATGTGAACTCTGGGACTGAGATTTCCTTCTGTAAAAGTGAGAGGTCTGAATTAACAAATTCAAGACTTCTGCATCTCTCACTTTTCTGTTTCTGGGTGATAGGAACAGGGCACAAGACGTAGAAGCAGAAACATCTGTGAGAAGCCACAAGAGAAACGGCAAAGGAAAGGTGGGGCGGGGATGAGTTTAGCTGATTTGGGGGGAGGATACCCAGAACCACGATGAGAGATTTTTCTGTTTGGGGGCCACACCCAACTATGCTCTTCTGGCTCTGCGCACAGGGATCACTCCTGGTGGCAGGGTTTGTGCAAGGCAATTATCCTATTCACTGTACTTCGAGACCCTCCCCCTCAACCCGAAAGGCTTCTGAATAATATGTTTGCGGTATTTTTATTTTTGTTTTGCTTTTTGTGAAGTCAGAGATTGAACCTAAGGTTTCACACAACGCAAGGCAATCACTCTGCTTCTGAGCTACAGCCTACGCCCAAGCTATTTTGAAAAGAAATGATCCCTCAAAGGAAGTATTGCCTTTGGACTGATAGCAAGTGGCCGTGGGAAAAAGTGGGGAAAAAGGATCGCCCGCTTCACTCTCAAAAAACGGACCCCGCCCCCTTCCCAGCAAATCATAGCTTTTCTCCCCATAATGCCCAGCAGCCACTGCCAAGCCACGCACTGCAACCGAACTCTACTTAACTCCGCCTCTTCAACCGCCCAGGAATAATTCCCCATTTTTAATTGGCCTTTATAGCTGTCACTCAGAAAATCTTTGCAGCCGTTGGTCACTTCCTACCTACCCCAGTTCGCTCCCTGGTAAACTCGCCTACTTTGGGACTCCCCGCCTCCCGAGGCCAATTTGCTGCCGTGGATTGGGTGGCGAGAATGCCACTTTTCACGGTCCAAAGCGATGATTGGCTGTCAGCGGAGGGGCTCGCGCAGTTACCAGGCAGCGGGCTAGACTGAGGCTAGTTACCACGTCAGTGAGCTGACAGGGAAGGGAGCCGGCTCCACCGTCTGTTCTGGCCGACTCTTTCCCAGCCGACTGTGCGACCCTTGACTTCGGCCTCAGCTCCCAGGGAACGAGCTCCTTCCCTTCGCCCATCCGCCGCCAGAGCTCTGAGAGCCGCCTGGAGACGCCTGCAGGGCCGGACTGGACATGAGCTGCAGCTGCTGGTCCTGGGACTAGGCCCCGCCATTTTGGATCCGCTGACAGGTCAGCGAAGTCTCTTCCTAAGAGTTCCAGAGTCGGGAAGGCCGCTCTGACATCGCGATCGGGACAAAATGGGTGGAGGGCCTTGGCGTTGGACGGCTTGGATGGCGTCGGGAAGTCAAGACTGGAACCAGAACGGAGGGAGAGTTTGTTGTGGGAGGGAACCGGGAGGCGTGCAAGGTGCCAAAGGTCAGGTCCCTGTCGCAGGATGGGCGACTTGGGCTCTGACTTCTGATCCTTGGAGCGTGCCCGAGTGCGTCCATGTTCCCAGGCTGAACCGAACCTTCAGCTCCTCTCTTTTTTTTTTTTTCTGGAACTTTCTGCATCTTAAAGAGCCCAGCCCACCAAACCAAACCAAACCAAGCCAAATCTGGAAGCAAACCTAAAAGCCTGGCATTTACTTTTCAGAGCTGATTTTTAGATCTTGGCTAGGGGATGCCCCTTTCCTCCCCCCAACTCCCCCCCCCCCCCCCCCCCCCAGGTTCTGTCCTGCGCCCGCTTTTGCGTGTCTGTCTCATGAATATCGACGAGGCGCTACATCAGTTCTGGCTGCTGATATAAGTCTGGCTGCAGCCCGGCCCCGGAGAGTGAGAGAGGGCGGCTGGCTGGGGGGAAGGTTGAGGCCAGGGGTCAGGGAATCTGGGCGAGGAGGCTTCGCTCTTACCAGGCAGCGCGACTTCCGGCCAGATCTGTGTGTCAACACTGCCCTTACCTCTGAACGCGCTTCTCCCTCCGACTCCGGCTTCCGTAGATCCCCTTCGGGTGTTTGTTCTTGGTTGACATCCTCCCCCTTCCCTCCAGGTCTTCTCTGCGCTTGGCCGAGGAGGAGGAGGAGGGTTCACCAGGAAGCCTCTCAAGTTCTGCCCTCCGTGGCCAAAAGCAAGGAGCGGGGAGCTGGGTCCTGCTGCAGATTGGAGTTCGGTTGGTCTCCTGATCGATTTGTCGTGCCTGGGGTAGCGCTCCGACTCTCTCGCCTCTCTCGCGTGCTGGCCTGCTCGCGGCGTCCTGAGCTGCGTCTCAGTCCCCCAGAGTGAGCATAGGGATTTTCAGTGGGTCGGTAGAGTGGTGAGAGATGTTCAGCCAGTTCAAAGTTGTTAGGGTCAGGGGAGCAGTGTTAAGTGATGGAACGGCAATCCCAGCGTGTAATTGATGGCACGGTGATGACTTTGATAAACTGTTGCATTGTAACAGAAGTCCCCCAAGAATAAAGAGTGCTTTTAGAATTCAGAAATAGTATGGATGGTGTTTTTAATGTTCAGCATAGAAATTTGAATTTACTGATTCAAGTTTGCACGGCTGGAGGAGTATTTTAATGGGAAAAGGATTGTTCTACTGATGTACTACAAGGGCCTTGCTGGAATAAAGCAGTACACATCTATTGCTCCTTAGCAAAATAGTGAATACTCCAAAAAAAAAAAAAAAGAAGAATGTTGTCTGTTCCTTGGATTAGTTTTTGTTTGTGATCCTGACTTGTGTGACCTGACAATCAGGTCTTTTGCATGGTGGGATAATAAAAAAGGAGAACCAAAACTTCATCCTGCTAGATGGGAAAGTTGGGATCAGAATGACTACGTTTCTTTCTATTAAATGACCTCTGCCCTTTTGAAATGTCTGTAGATGAGTGTGTCTTTGTGGAGGAAAGCGTTATTGTTTGTATATACGGATTTTAAATAAGTGGGATGGAAATTGTACAAGAAACTACTTGCATTTTCACTTGCTGTCTGAGTTGCAGAATCTCCCAACAAGTCGTTGAAGTGGCTTGTGATATGAATAGTTAGCCCAGGAAATGTTCAGAGTTGATGTACCTGCTTTGTTCATCTGAGACGAAATGCATATTAAATTGATTTAGTTTTTGTGTTGATGTTATTATGACCAAATCCATGTGGAGGTGAGTCAGCAGCAAAGATTTTTCCCTTTCTTAAAAAAATAATTTCCTAGATAAACATAAGTCTTTGTTCTCTAGCCCCACTCTGCAAATCAGAAAATTTGTTCTTCATAACTTGTATTTCAGTTTTTTAGTTTTGTTTAATGTACTGGGGTTGGGGGGCGCTACTCTTGGCTCTGTACTCAGGGCTTGCTCCCATGAACTCCAGCCCAATAATTTTGTTTGTTTTTTAGTTTTTGGGTCACACCTAGCAATGCTCAGGGGTCACTCCTGGCTCTGTACTCAGGAATTACTCCTAGTGGTGCTTGGGGAATGATATGAGATGCCAGGGATGAGACTTGGGTCAGGTACTTGGAAGACAAGTGCTTTATCCACTGTACTATCTCTCCAGCCCCTTGGTTTGTATTTTGGTTTATTGCAGTGCTGGGGATTGACCCAGAACCTCACACATGCTCTAGGGCTAAGCTACCCTCAGACCCTTCAGCATGTTTTAAAGGTGCCTATAGGCAGTGTATTCTAATCCTGGCAGTGATGCTCATTGAGTACATGGGCATCAGTCCTAGTTGAATTTTCTTCTTGGAGTTCCACTGCTATTTCACTTTCCTGTGTTTCAGATGTCAGGATGACTCCACTTTTTTTTTGTTTGTTTGTTTTGGTGCCACCCCTGCGATACTCAGGGTTTATTCCAGGGCCATATGTAGTGCCAGGGATTGAACCTGGGAGGGGCTGCATGCAAGGCAAGTGACCTGCCTACTGTACTCTATCACTGGCACTGGATGACTACCACTTTTAGATAATAACTTCGTTGGCAGGGTTCTTAGACTGGCTAGTGGGATCAATTCAAGGAGGAAAAGACAGAGCTTTCTCCTGGTGAGACTCACTGCATTTATCTATCTATTTATTTAATCTATTTTTTAATTAAAAATTTTTTTGGGTGAGGGAACACTCGGGCTATACTCAGGGCTTACTCCTGGCTCTATACTCAGGAATCATTCCTGGTGGTGCTCAGAGGACAGTATGCAGTACTGGAGATTGAACCTGTATTGGCCCTGTGCAAGGCCACTGTACTGTCTCTCCACCCCACCCAACTGCATTTATATAATACTCATTGGAAGGATCATTGTGGCCTTTGTATGCTCCTTGTATTGATTGATCACAGTCTGTCTCTTTGGTTCTGTGTGATATTTAGAATGATTTTGCTGTTGGGGTAAGAAAGAGGTTGACTTGAAGGGACAAGAGGAAGTTTATATTAGTTTATATCTAAGTTTATATCTCAGTCTGAAAGAGCTGTGTAAATGTGATTTCAGCTTATATTGGGATTGTTTAGCTTATATTGCTCCTCTTTTTCCATATTTATTTTATCCGATAGCGTTGTTTAAATAAAAATATAATAGTGTGGTGATTTTAAGCCCAGTCATAGTGGGAAGTGGTTATGGTAGTAGAGCTTTGTTATGTAAAACAGGGATTATGAATTCAAATGCTTTAGTATTAGACTGGTAATATCAATGAATGAAGTGAACCAAGTGGGAATATCCGTAGGATGAGTCAAGAACTCTTGGTATATTAGAACATGGGTAAACTACAAGCAATTTTTCCTTTTTTCAGGATAAGCAGGAAATTCTAATTATTGTACTTTTATTTTTAATTTGCTTTTGGGTCACACCCGGCGATGCGCAGGGGTTACTCCTGGCTTATGCACTCAGGAACCATTCCTGGCAGTGCTCGGGGGACCATATGGGATGCTGGGAATTGAACTCGGGTTGGCTGCGTGCAAGGCAAACGCCCTACCTGCTGTACAATCACTCCAGCCCCCTATTGTATTTTTAAATTAACTTGCAACTAATTATTATTATTGTCATTACTACTATTATTATTGCTAATAACTCAGGGGCTACTTCCTGCTCTGGGATTGCGCCTAGTGGTAATCAAGGGACTACTGTACTGGGAAAGGAACTTGGGTCCCCTGGCATGCATTCAAGCTGATTGAGCAATCTCTTTGACCCCTTATTATTATTTCTTTTTTGCCTTTTTTTTTTTTGCTTTTTTTGGGTCACACCTGGCGATGCACAGGGGTTACTCCTGGCTCTGCACTCAGGAGCTACTCCTGGCAGTGCTCAGGGGACCATATGGGATGCTGGGAATCGAACCCGGTTTGGCTATGTGCAAGGCAAATGCCCTATCCGCTGTGCTATCTCTCCAGCCCTTGACCCCTTATTTTAAGTAAAGTAGTTTTATTTTAGGACTATGAGAACGCGAGAGTGCCCATTGAAGTAGAGAGATTACCTACTCATGAGTTGGGATGTGGACAACTCCAGATTAGTGTGTGCCAAGTTATATTTAATTTAATTTATTTTGGGGCCTCAGCCAGTAGTGCTCAGGGGTGATTGGCTCTGCACTCAGGAATCACTTCTGATAGGCTTAGGAGACCAGGTGAGATGCTAGGGATCAGACTCAGCTTGGCTGAGTGCAAGGCAAGTGCTGGGACCTGCTTGTACCATCTCTCCACTCCAGCCAAGCCAAACTGTATTCTAAAAAAGACCCTTGCAGGGAAAACAAAAGATGTTGTGGCTGGACTCTACCTGATGACAATGGATTATGACCCTTGATAAGGGCAGGATTTATGAGACTTAATCATTACAGTTCTCTATAAAAATTCAGACTGTTTCTTTTCTTTTTTCCCCCAATTGTTTTTGGGCCATAAGTGGAGTGCTTAGGGTTTACTCCAGGCTCTGCACATGGGGATCACTTCTGGCAGATCTTAGGGTACAATTTGGGGTGCCGGGAATCAAACCTGTGTTGGCAGTGTGCAAGGCAAAGGCCCTTCCGGCTGTATTATCTATCTCTCCAATCTAGACTGACTTCCTTTATACTACTTTTCTTTTTTTTTCTTTTTGGGGTCACACCTGGCGATGCTCAGGAGTTATACTCATGGCTCTGCACTCAGGAGTTACTCCTGGTGGTCCTCAGGGGACATTATGGAATACCGAGAATTGAACCCAGGTTGGCCCCATGCCAAGCAAACATGCTGTACTATTACTCTAGCCCCTTTATGCTACTTTTCTAATGGTTAGTCTTCCCTGATTGATTAAAAGTTGAGTGAAAGAGAAGACTTGTTTTCATTTTTAAATTGGCAGAAAGGACATCTTTGCCCAACTAGCAGGTAATTCTTGGGATAGACTCTCCACAATAGGAGGAGGTAGTATACAGAGCTGAGGTACGCTGGTCACCTGATTATTGGGTTGGGTAGGATTTTCCAGCTGTATGCTGTCAGGGCACCACCTCTTCCCCTGCTTTGACTTTCTTTTCTTTTTCCTGTTTGGTCCACACTCGGTGGTGCTCGGGACTTACTCCTGGCTCTGTGCTCAAAGTTCAATCCTGGTGGGGTTCAAGGGACCATATGTGGGGCTGGGGATCCAACCTGCACTCAGAAATCAGGCTTAGGGGACCATATGAGATGCTGGGGATCTAATCCAGGTTGGCAGAGTGCAAGGCAAGTGCTTGGGACCTGCTGTACCATCTCTCCACCCCAGCCAAGCCAAACTGTATTCTAAAAAAGACACTTGCAGGGAAAACAAAAGATGCCTTTTACATGTGTCAGTGATGTGCAAGGCAGTGCCTTACCTGCTGTACTGTCTCTTTGGCCTTCTGTTTTACCTCCACTCTTTGGCTAAATTTCTTAATTCCAGTAACTGTTTACTGGTTCAATAATTTTTGGTCACTTAATAAAGCACTGAATACCATATGTTCCTTGGATAGTTCAAGAAACCTTGTAAGCTCTGCATCTTTAGTGTTTCTCTGGGGTGTGCTAGAGATTCACAAAATCAGTCACAAATCATCCTGTTAATCTTCGATTGCCTCAAGCAGGCCCCAGTAACGTCTCCTTCATCCTAGCCCTGAGATTATATTCAAGGCTCTTTAGAAGAATGAGACCCATCATTGTTACTGGTATTTGGCATATTGGGTACACCACAGGGAGTTTGCCAGACTCTGCCGTGTGGGCAGGCTACATTCGGTAGCCTGCCAGTTTGTCCAAAGTAGGAATGAGATAATAAGATGTCATAATAAGATGTCGCGCGGCCGCAAATGCGGCCGCGCGGTTCCAGGAGCTGGTTTTTATAGTCTCTGAGTCTTGGCCGCTGATGGGATTACATGGCGCCAGGGGGCCAGTTGGTGGGTGTGACCCCCACCTACTGGAATTTGGAGGATCTGGGTGGAGGATGCTCGGCCCAAATCCGAGTAGGCTTGGAGATCTCGGCCCCGGAACCCGCGTGACTTTGTCCCTCTGCCAGTACCTTCATGTGTGCGGAGAGTGGTCTCAGAATCGTGGTGGCTGGTCCTGGAGGTCTTTGGCTGCCGGAGCTCTGGTCGGGGCGGGGAGGAAAGCTCAACCCGCTCCCCTCCAAGGGGCCCCGGCGGCGAGGACAGTCAGGCGCGGGGGCAGGAGACTGCACTGTTCTTCTTCCGGGAGCTGATTTTTATAGTCTCTGAGTCTTGGCCGCTGATGGGATTACATGGCGCCAGGGGGCCAGTTGGTGGGTGTGACCCCCGCCTACTGGAATTTGGAGGATCTGGGTGGAGGATGCTCGGCCCAAATCCGAGTAGGTTTGAGATTGTAGTGCTAGAGATTGAGTACAGATAAACCCTGGAAAGGTCAGTAAAGGATCATTCCCGTAGCTGCTGTCTTCTAAGGAATACTATCATGGGGCCAGAGAGATAGCATAGCGGGTAGGGAGAGCCTTGCAGTGCTGAGATCTTAATTCTCAGAACTGCAAACAAACAAGCACAACCCCACAAAACAAACAATTAGGGGCTGTAGCTATAGCACAGCAGGTAGGACGTCTGCCTTGCACGCGACCAATCCAGGTTCGATTCCCAGCATCCCATATGGTTCCTTGAGCACCGCCAGGAGTGAGTACGTGAAACAGGAGTAACCCCTGTGCATCACCGGATGTGACCCAAAAAGCAAAAAAACAAACAAACAAAAAATCCAAACAATTAAAAATAGGTGTTCTAATAACCAGTTATTAGAACTAAAGAAAATAAAACATGTCTATGTGTGAAGAATCCAGAATTACATAAAAAAGTATATATTTTTACAGATGGAAGGTGGATGTGCAAATAGCATGGGAACACCTCAAGAAAGTAAATGTGAAAAAGGAAACTCCATAAAAGTGGAGTCTTTCTGTATAAGATTTGTAACTTTTGATAAAGAAACAGATATGAAAGACAAAAAGCTTTGCCCGCCGGGCAGGAATCTGTTTTCTTTAAAGTCATTTTTCTTATAGGAGGTACACCAGTATTGAAGAGTTAGTTTTGATATTAGTTTGTTCATTTAGTATTTGCCATTTTTTTGAACTATGTTTTAGGCATTAGGGATAATAAAGTGGACGAATCATGAGATGAACATAGATAAACTAGTAGTAGTAGATGTTTTTAGATGGAGTATAGGCTTGTGGTAATGAACGGCCCTAATACTCTCTGGAGAGATGGTTTAACTAAGGAAGACTTCACAGTAGATATTATCATAGTAACAGCTAACGTTTTTGTTTTGTTTTGTTTTTGTGCCACACACAGCTGTGCTCAGGGCTTACTCCTGGCTCTGTACTCAGAGGTTACTCCTGGTGGGCTCAGGAGACACTCTGGGAATTGGAGCTTGAACCTGTTGGCCACATGCAAGGCTAGTGCCTTATCCACTGTAATATCTCTTCAGCCAACAGCTAACATTTTTCTGGTTTTAAAATGCCCATACTGTAAGGTGGGAGATATAGTACAGTGGGTAGTGTGTTTGCCTTGCATGCTGCCAACCCTGATTTGATCCCTGGCATCCCAGGAGGACTTTTTTCTGTGTGTGAAGTAAGATAGCTTTTGAATAAAATTTATTTAGAAAGATGTGAGAGGTGGGGCTGGAGAGATAGTACAGCTGGTAGGGTGTTTATATAATTCATTTGAAATAGAATTTTTGGTGTTCTATTGAAATAAGGATTTAATTTGTCATTTCTCCTGCCTTTGTTTAGATCTAGAGGGAGTCTTCAGTTGATGTAGTGCCTCCTCTTTGGATCCTTTTGGGGTGAGTAACTGCAGAGTGCCAGGGGGATGCTTAGATCCAGTCTTAAAGAGCCAGCGCTTTCAAAGAATCTCCATTACTCAGATCTCTGAGCCTGTGGCTTATCTGGCTGAGAATGTTGGTGTGTGCTTGGTTCTTCTTTTCATGTTTTTGTTTGGTTTTTGCACCATATCTGGCGGGCTTGGGGGACCCTATGTGGTGCCAGGGATTGAACCCAGCCAGGTTGGTTGCTTGCAAGGCAAGTGCTCTACCTGCTGTACTATTGTCCCAGTCCTTATCTCATGTCTTTTTGTTACTTTTTGGGGGACTGGACCTAGGGCTTTCTTCACTTTTTTGGGGAGAAGGGCACATCCAGCGGTGCTCAGGGTTTCCTCCTGGCTCTGCATTCAGGAGTAATTCCTGGTTGTGTTCGGGTGACCATATGGGATGCTGGGTTGATTACTTCAAGGCAAAAATGCCCTACCTGCTGTACTATCACCCCATCCCTAGGGTTCTCTACATTTGAAGCATCACTTTACCACTGAGCCACACCCCTGACCACATATTCTGTAAACTGGGAGGCTGGAGTGATAGGCTTGAACTGGTCTTGTTGGTCAAGTCTCACCTGATGTGTCCCCAGACCTCCGAGCCCTGCTTGCAAGTACCTGCAGTCCCTCCAAAAAAGAAATGTTTGATGGTTTATCTTTTGGTTTTTGGGTCACACCCAACTGTGCTCCGGGATCTGTGCATAGGGATGACTCTTGGTAGGGTTTGAGAGAGGATTGAACCTGGGTACAAATTCAGTTCTCTCTCGCTCTCTCGCTCTCTTGCTCTCCTCTCTCTCCTCTCTTTTTCTTTTCTTTTTTTCCCCCATAATTTTATTTAGTTTTCTTCTTATATTTATTTATTGAATCACTGTGGGAAAAGTTACTAAGCTTTCAGGTTTAAGTCTCGGTCATACAATGATCAAACACCCTTCCCTTCACTAGTACTCATTTCCCACCACCAAGAACCCCAATATACCCCCCTCCCACTCTTCCCATTGTGAGTAGATGATCTCTACTTAACTCTTCTCTACATTGATTACATTCATTATTTCAACAGAAGATGCACCATTATTGTTTAGAATTTCCTCCCCCCCAACAATCAGAATTGCTGAAAAGACATTGTGAAATACTTGGTTTTCTATAGCTGGTTATGAGAATCATATACTGTCACACGACTGCAATAGCAGATGTGCTATTTTGAATTCCTGCAAAGAGCCAGATAATTACGAGATTGGTTCTGTGCATCTGGTGTTATGGCTGTACCGGAGAGCCACTCATGGGGGGCAACTCGTGACCTCGGTAGGGCGTGAAGGATGAGCCAGAGCCAGTACCGCCCCCCCTTCCCATGAGACTGCAGTTGCCCTGTCACCACCGGCTCATATCTGGCATCCTTATAAGCTCTGAGGCAGCACCACCTTGCTGCTGGGGGGGGAAAGGCGGAAGGGAGCAACACCCTTTCCCTTCGGGGAGGCATGGTGCCATAGTTTAACTCATGGTCCATTCACTTTTCTGCCACAAGCTGCCAGGCTCTGGATTAAGTCCTTTTGCCTCTTCTCTCCTCTCTTTTTCTCTCTCCCCCTCACGCTCTCTCCTCTCCCTTTCTTCCTATCCCCTCCCTCCCTCCCTGTATCCTTCCCTCCCTCCCTTTGTTTTGTGTTGCACCTGACAGTGCTTAGGCCTTACTCTTGGCTCTGTGCTCAAGAATGACTCCTGATGGGGATTAGAGGACCATATGGGGTGCCAGGGATCAAACCTGGGTCAGTTGCATGTAAGGCAAGCACTCTACCTCCTGTACTATTGCTCTGGTCCCTCTTTTCTTTCTTTTTTTCAAGTGCTTTTCTACTATATTTGCATGAGGTCTCGGCAGGCTTTTGTGACGCAGGGTTCTAGGATATTGGCCATGAGACAGCAAGTGATTCATTTTCCCATTTGAAACCAAAGGACAGACTCTCCTGGGAGCTTCTTTGGGTGAGGAGACAAATGCTCAAAGTCCCAAGGGGATAACTCCTCTTTCCCTTTTTTTGTGCAGGGGCGGATAGTGTGGTTGGGCCTTACCTGTTAGTGCTCAGGGGCTACTTCAGTCTATATGCTTGGGCATTGCTCCAGTGGTGGGATCAGCTGCATGCATGGCAGTACCTTAACCCTGTACTATCTCTCTCGCTCCTTCCAGCGAATCCCAGTTCAAAATTTATTTCCCCCAGGAAGCTTTCCAAAGAGTATATAGATTCTATCAGATTTCATTTGTTCTCATTGGCACTTTTGTTTGCAATTTATAGTTTAGTGCTGTGGTTGTTTATTTCTTGCTGTTTTTAGTATTTTTTTTAACTTTATAATGTCCATTCCAGGCCACCCAAAGCATTTGTTTTTATTTTTGTTTTTTGGGCCATACCTGGCAATGCCTAGGGTTTAGTCCTGGCTCTGCACACAGGAATCGTTCCTGGTGATTATCAGGGGATAATAGGGGATGCCAGGGATTGGACCCAGGTTGGCCATGTGCAAGGCAAGTACCCCACCTGCTGTACTATCTCTCTGACCTCTCCAGAACAGTTTTACAATGATAGGAATTTAATACTCGATAGCACAGGGGCTGGTGCAATAGCACAGCGGGTAGGGTGTTTGCCTTGCACACAGCTGACCTGGGTTTGATTCCTCTGTCCCTCTTGGAGAGCCCAGCAAGGTACCGAGAGTATCCTGCCTGCACAGCAGAGCCTGGCAAGCTCCCCGTGGCATATTTGATATGCCAAAAAACAGTAACATGTCTCACAATGGAGAGGTTACTGGTGCCTCAAGCAAATTGATGAACAACGGGAGGACAGTGCTACAGTGCAGTGCTACTCAGTAACTGTTACGTATTAATGCTTCTCTGTGGTACACCCTCCACTTTTCTAGCTTTACCTCTTGTTCAACTCTCTAGGAATAGTGTTCCGGTTAGTATGGAATAGAAAAAGATCTCATAAATACATACTGAATTTTCCCACCTACAAGCCTTTGTTCTTGCCATTGCCCCATATATAAAATTTATTATTGTTATTATTGGCTTTTAGGCCACACCCAGTGGTGCTCAGGGCTTATGCCTGGCTCTGTGCTCAGGGGACCATATGTGGTATTGGTTGTGTGGAAGGCCACCTGCTTTACTATCTGTTGAGCCCCTTTCAATACTTTTGACTGTATAATGTTTTTCACTTGCTCTCTTCCAGGATTCTTTATTTTGCTTTTTGGGTCACACCCAGCAATGCTCAGGGGTTACTCCTGGCTCTGCACTCAGGAATTACTCCTGGCGGTGCTCAGGGGACCATATGGGATGCTGGGAATCGAACCTGGGTCAGCCGCGTGCAAGGCAAACACCCTGCCCGCTGTGCTGTTACTCCAGGCCTCTTCCAGGATTCTTAACAGAACTATTTATTTATTTATTATTTGTTTCACTGCTATGACTGTGTATCACTCTTGCATTCAAGATAAATAGGGGTTTCTGTATATCATTTATGTTATGCTTTGTTTTTGACTACATACACCCAATGGTACTAGGAGCTTACTCCTGGCTTAGTAGTTGCTCCTGCGGTGCTTGGGGGACTTTATAGTATTGAGGATCAAAACCGGGGTCTCAACATGCGAAACATGCCTGTTGAGCTTATCTCTCTATTGCTATGTATGTTTTAACTAATCCATTATATATTTTTTGTGGGATAGTAAGGATAGTTCTGCTAAGTAATGTGTGTTAGTTGGCTTTGATTATTGTTCTTTTACACATGAAATAACTCTCTAAAGAGCCTATTCTTATTAATTTTTTTTTTATTTTTGGGTCACACCTGGTGGTGTTCAGGGCTTACTGCACAGAGATCACTCTTGGTGCTATTTAGGGGATCATATGCAATGCTGGGGATTATACCAGGGTTGACTGCATGTAAGACAAGTACTTTCACTTCCCTATACTTCCCTCTGACACCTACAGAGCCCAATTTAAAAAAAAAATCAGATAGGACTGAGGAGAGGAGGAGGCCTAGGTGTAAATTTTTTTTTAAAGATAGTATCTTAGTATCTTTAATAGGCACAAAAGAATATCACTGTATCACTGTCACTGTCATCTTGTTGTTCATTGATTTATTCGAGTGGGCACCAGTAACGTCTCCATTTGTCCCAGCCCTGAGATTTTAGCAGTCTCTCCTTACTTGTCTTTCCCAATGCTGCCATATTGGAGGCTCTTTCAGGGTCAGGGGAATGAGATCTGTTACGTGACTGCTTTTGACATATCGAATACGCCGCGGATAGCTTGCCAGGCTCTTTTGTTGTCAAAAAAGAATATACAGAGAAAAATAAGTCACCTCATTCCCTCAGTTCCTTCTTTCTTTATTTTTTTTATGGGGCTGTTACCTATACCTGGCAGTGCTCTGGAGTTTTTCCTGGCTCAGTGCTTTCTCCTGGCCGTGCTCATGTACTGTATGATGCCAGGGATTGAACTTAGGCTTCCCACATGTGAACCATTTACTCGAGGCCTTTTGCTATCTCTTCAGCCCCCTCCAGTTCCTTTATTAAGATGTAACATCTTAACATTTTCTTTCTTTTCCATGATTAATAGCTGTATATTTTTAACCTTTCTTAATCTAGTAAAGGACAACCATATGCACCATTCATGAGTGCCATACTCAGTGCCACATGATGGAAAGTTTGGAAAGTTTCTTCTATCTTTCAATGGAGCTCTTTTAACATGAAGCAAGATAGTTTTATTTAACGAAACTTACTTAAAAAGATGGGAGGAGAGAGAAAAGAGGAATTATATGTTCAAGAGAGAATATGGGCTTCTCCTGAGGGCGAAAGCAAAGAGACATAGAGATAAACAAGTGAGAAATGTGTTCAAGGGAGAACGTAGGCTTGAAGAGCAAGCCTCTTAGCTTTCCCTTTCTTTTTTTGAGGGAGTGGGATGTCACACCCAGCAATGCTCACATTCTTCTCTGGCTCTGGACTCAGGAATTATTCCTGGCGGTGCTTGGGAGACCATTTGGGATGCTGTATCAAAGTCAGGTTGTCTGTGTGCAAGGCGAGTGCCCTACTTGCTGTACTATTTCTTCAGCATAACTCGTTAACATTTTCTTTAAAAAAAAATCTTTCCAGAGAGAGATATTACAGTGGTAAGGCACTTGCCTTGTATGCTGCTGACCCAGGGTCATATATCCCTCATATATCCCCTGAGCACTGCCATGAGAAATCTCTTAGTGTGGAGCCAGGAGTAAGCCTTGAGCACTGCCAACAGTGGCCCCCAAACCAAAAAAATAAAAAAAATAAATAAATCCTTCCAGGATTGGAGTGATAGTACAGGGGAAGGCTCTTGCTTTGCCTGCAGTCAACTGTGGTTTAACCCCCAATACTCCAAGCATCACTGGGTACAGCCCAAGAGGCCCCTGTGCATTACAGGTGTGGCCCTGGAAGTTCCTGGGTGGGTGAACCCCACTGGGTGGCCAGGCAATCCCTGGGATGCTGGGAATCGAACCTGGGTTGGCCGCGTGCAAGGCAAACACCCTACCCACTGTGCTTTCGCTCCAGTCCCTGCTTGGTTACGTTTACATAAATGGTAACACAATCATATACTACAGTATTTTTTTTTCACCCACAGTTTTTCATTAATGTCTAAGAATTTTTTCTAAGCCTCTTTTGCTTTGTGTCTTTAGCACTCTTAAAGTGGTGCCCAAAGAGACAGTAAAGGGTTAAGCTGCTGCTTTGTGTGCAGCTGACTCCCATTCAACACCCAGCACCCCATATGGTCACTGCCAGCAATGACCCTTAGGGTCCACTGGGTGTGGTCAAAAATAAAAAAGACACCTTACTTCGTAATATATACTTAATAAGTAAATCTTCTTGGAATTTCTTTTCTTTCTATATTTTTTTACTTAAAATTCATTTGTTGAATCACTTTATGAATTGAAAATCATTGTGAGGTAGTTACTTATGATTGTTTTATTCTTACAATGTTCTAGCATTCATCCCTTCACCAGTGTCTACTTCCTTCCACCAATGTCCCCATTTTCTCTCCTGTATCCCAGCTTGCCTCTATGGAGACAAGACAGGGAAATAGGGGAGAAGTCACCCATTCTCAGATTATTCTTGGCTCTGCACTAAGGAATCACTCTTGGTGGGCTCAGGGAACCATATGTGGTGTCGGGGATTGAACTCCGGTCTGTCGCATGCAAGGCAAGAGCTTTACCTGCCCTACAGTCTCTCCGGCCCCTGCCTCTGTTTCTTTCTAAAAAATTATCTAACCCTTCTCATTTTATTTATTTATTTATTTATTTTGCTTCTTGGGTCACACCCCGCGATGCACAGGGGTTACTCCTGGCTCTGCGCTCAGGAATTACCCTTGGCGGTGCTCAGGGGACCACATGGGATGCTGGGAATCGAACTCGGGTCAGCCGCATGCAAGGCAAACGCCCTACCCACTGTGCTATTGCTCCAGCCCCTAACCCTTCTCATTTTAAAGTTTGCAATTCACCTCCCTTGTGACCTCTCTCTCTCTTGCTTCTCTCTCGCTCTCTCTCTGGGGGCAATATCTGCAGTGCTTAGGGATTATTTCTAGGTTGGTGTTGAGGGGGTTGTTCCTAGAGTTCTCACGGAACCATGTGGTGACAGTGATCAAATCTGGGGCTCCCACATACATAGCTTGTGCTTCCAACCCTTTGAGCGCTCTCCCCAGCCTGCAATTTCTTCTTCTTTTATCCTGATTGCCTTACTGTTTTAACTTTCCTCCATCTAAATCAGAAGTAGGGTACTTTTTTTTTTTCAATCAAAGGGCCATTTGGATATTCATAACATCATTTATGGGCCATACAATACAGGCAGATAGGCTGTAGACAGCTGACAAGAGGCATATGTTCTGTTGTATCATGTACCAGGGCCAGACCACATGATCTATCTGATCTTATACAGCCCACATGCCAGACAGTCCCCATTCCTAATCTAAATGTTTGTCTATGTGTTTCTCCTCCTCCACCTGCCTTTTAAAAATCTTTTTCATCTGGGAAAATAATTCTCTATTTTAAGTGCTGTTCTAGGCAGCAAAGAAAATTTTGTAGCAGTTCAGTTGGGAACACTTAAATACTACAGCATTATTTCAGCTTTAAAAAGAAATAGCGATTTTTGTTTGTTGCTTTTTGTTTTGGGCCACACAGGGCAATGCTCAGGGGTTACTCCTGGCTCTGCACTCAGGAATTACTCCTGGCGGTGCTCGGGGAACCATGGGCTGCTGGGGATTGAACCTGGGTTGCCTGCCTGCAAGGTCAGTGACTTAACTCTGTGCTATCGCTCCAGCCCCAAAAAGTAGTTTTAAAAACAGATTTTTTTTTTTGGTCTGCTTATTAGAGGTTTTCTATTATTAGCAAGTGATTTTTGAGTTTTCAGACCTTTTCAGAGGTTATATCATTACCATTGCCTAGTTTTCTGGAGCTGCCTTAGTAGAATGAGATATTTTATAAGTTAACATTAAAACTGTGTTTTCAAATCAAGACTATTTGTGTATGCGTGTGTGTGTGTCAGGGGGTGGGTGGGGAGGAGGACATACCTGGCTGTGAATAAGCATTATAGCTTTTTCCTGGCTCTGGACTACTCCTGGTGGAGTTTGGGGGACCATATGAAGTGCTGGGGATTGAATATGGGTTCCCCGTGCAAGACCAGTGTATTACTTCTGGACCATACCGCCAACTCCTCATTTTATATTATGGGTGAGAAATCTTGGTACTAAAAAGTTTTCATTTTTCATTTCATCATCCTGTTAATCGTCGATTGCCTCGAGCAGGCCCCAGTAACGTCTCTTTCATCCTAGCCCTGAGATTATATTCACGGCTCTTTAGGAGAATGAGACCCATCATTGTTACTGGTATTTGGCATATTTGGTACGCCACGGGGAGTTTGCCAGACTCTGCCCTTTGGGCAGGCTACATTCGATAGCCTGCAAGTTTGTCCAAAGTAGGAATGAGATAATAAGATGTTATAAAGAAAAGTTTTGATAAGATGTCGCGCGGCCGCACTTGCGGCCGCGCGGTTCCAGAATCTGGATTTTATAGTCTCTGAGTCTTGGCCGCTTATGGGATTACACGGCGCCAGGGGGCCAGGTGGTGGGTGTGACCCCTGCCTGCTGGAATTTGGAGGATCTGGATGGAAGATGCTCGACTCCAATCCGAGTAGGCTTGGAGGTCTCGGCCCCGGAACCCGCGTGGCTTTGTCCCTCTGCCAGTACGTTCATGTGTGCGGAGAGTGGTCTCAGCATGGTGGTGGCTGGTCCTGGAGGTCTTCGGCTGCCGGAGCTCTGGTCGGGGCGGGGAGGAAAGCTCAACCCGCTCCCCTCCAAGGGGTCCCGCCGAGGAACACCCAGGCGCGGGGGCAAAAGACTGCACTGTTCTCGCCGTGTAATCCTATCAGCGACCAAGACTCAGAGACTATAAAATCCAGATCCCGGACGAGAACTAAAAAGTTAAATTATATCATTCTAATTTTACCAGGTACTAATTTAAACATAGGTGTTCTTTGAATAACTAAATATTGACCAAACTTTTAACTGTTTTTATAGGTTTGCCAGAATGGTGGATAAGAATATTTATATCATTCAAGGGGAGATTAACATTGTGGTTGGAGCTATCAAACGAAATGCCCGATGGAGCACCCATACTCCACTGGTAAGTGGTGGGAATGGGCAGACTCCCCAAAATACGTTTTGTTGGCCAAGGATGTGGCTCAATAGTAGGACATCTGTCCTATTTTGGGAGGAGGAGGGGGCCACACCTGGCAATGCTCAGGGCTTCAGGGCTTACTCCTGGCTCTGTGCTTAGGGATCACTCCTGGCAGATTGCAGGGGACTATATGGGGTGCCAGGAATTGAATTTGGGTTGGCTGTGTGCAAGGCAAGTGCCCTGCCCGCTGTCCCATCGCTCTGATACAAGCATCTGTCTTTTAAGTGTGAGCCCTTGGGTTAAATACCTGGCCCTGAAAAAGCAAAAAATATGAATATGTATATACATTTTTTGGGGGGGTCTGATGTTTGAGGCTGTACTTGGTGGTGCTCAGGAGCTATCGCTGGGGTTGTCTGAATGCAAGACAAGTTCCTTAACCCCGGGCCCTAAGAATATATATTTATACCTTTTATTTTTTGGCCACACCCACCTAAGTTCTGGGCATACTCCTTGCTCTGTGCTCAGGAATCATTCTTGGCGGTGCTTAGGGGATCATACACAGTGCAATGCCAGTAGTCAAACCCAGGTTGATTGCTTGCAAGGCAAGTACATTATCCCTTGTACTGTGTCTCTGGCCCTTAAGTTATATTTTTGTAGGGCCACGCCCATCAGTGTTTGGGGCCACTAGAGATATACTTCATGGTGCAAAGAGGGGATGGTACTGGAGATCAGACTCAGGGCATCTTGTCCTATGCATGTACTCTACTATTGTGCTGTCTCTCCATCCCAGTGACTTCCTCCAACCCCCAGTGACTCTTTATAAACTTATGTTACAGGATGAAGAACGGGATCCTCTTCTGCATAGTTTTAGTCATCTAAAGGAGGTTCTGAACAATATAACAGGTAAGTTTCCATCTGGGTAGGATTATTTATCCTGATTTAAAAAAATGTGTTTGATTTATTATAGGATAGACAAGCCTTTTTTTTGATTTTCACTTTAAGTTTTGGGCCACACCTAGTGGTGCTCAGGGATTATTCCATACTGTGCACTCAGGTATCTCTCCTGGCAGTGCTTGGGAGACCATTTGGGATGCTGGGGATTGAACCCAGGTTGGTCACATGTAAGACGTGTGCCCTACCCACTCTACTAGCTCTCTGGCCCCTGTAAAAACAAATTCTGCGCTTGAGAGGGGCTGTGAAATTCCCCACTCCATGCACGGGGATGACGTGTGAAAGGATGTTCGTGTGTTCTCCGGGTGGCTCTCTGTCGCCACCGGCGTTCAGTGCTCTCGAGCTGCTTCTCCACCCGGGAAGGCTGTTGCCTTGGTCGGACAAAGGAAGAACGAGGGCCAAGCTGGTTGCGATTAGCTGCTGTTTATATAATCTTTTCTCTCTCTCCCCTCTCTCTCTCTCTCTCTCTCTCTCTCTGCCCATCTCTCTCTCTCCCCTCTTCCCACTGTATCTGTCTCCTCTCTCTCTCTCTCACTGCTTCTCTGCGACTGTCTCTCCTTCCAACCATCAATCAATCCATTTCTCCCTACAATCCTCTTCTCCCCGCAGCCACTCTTTTTATCCTCTCACAACGCCTCCCCAACCAGGCCTCCCCATGGGAAGCGTGATCAAAAATGTTTTTCTAGACTTCTCGACCACCTGCTGCCCATGAGGGCAAAACAACCTTTAGGTGTGTTTCCCCTCTCCTTAGACCTGCAACTTAATTAGCATCTTTAATTCTCCTAATATTTACCATTCTGTATAGACACAGTAATAGACACTTTTAGGCTTATATGGTGACTCTCCTGGGGACATCTTCCCACAGACTCTGACTACAGTGCTCAGGCCGGATCAGTTATTCCTAACTTCAGCAAGGTCCAAATCTAGTTATTTCTTTTGGATCATGACAGAATTTGTCCATGACCAAGCTCTTAACTTACAGTTAAGCATTAGGGCACTTTGGCCAGGCCCATTTTGATGCAAGGGTAGCTCATAGCTCACCGCTTGCCCTGGGTCCATCCAGTCCCTCGGAAGTAAGGGCAACTGAGGCATAAGTCAAGAGAGCAGATGTCCAGGCAGTATATTATTTGGAGTCAATCAACTCCCAAGCCACAGGCTTGTCTTTTTAACTGTCTTCCTGTATCCATACAAAAAGCAATTGCTCTGAAATAGCTAACCATGCAAAGGACATTAAGGAGAAGAGAAAGACAATATTTACAAGTCAGAGTCTGATCAGGAGACAAAGGTAATTGACAGGCTGGGGGCAATCAACAAACACAAGCTTCCAGTGGCCAGGAAGGAAGGGCAAACCAACCATTATCCTACAGGCCCCAAACTTTTTTTTTTTTAAAGATTGATTTATTTCTGGATTTCCTCAGTATTGTTTGGGGTCTGGGGATACTTCTAGTGATAACTTGACTTGATTATTTAGAATTTGGTACTTAGCCTGGCAGTGGTATAGACTCCCAGCAGTGTTTGGGGCCATCCGGTGGGAAATCAAACTTAGGCATTAGTCTGGATAGCTCTACCACTTGATCTATTTCCCAGGACCCATGAAGACTATATAGTGAATGTTCCAGACTTTATAGGGCATATCAACTGTGCAGCTACTTACTGTAGCTTAGCACAGCGGGTAGGGCGTTCGCCTTACAAGCGGCCAACATGGCCGACCCGAGTTCGATTCCTCCGCCCCTCTCGGAGAGCCCGGCAAGCTACCGAGAGTATTCGATATGCCAGACACAGTAACAACGAAGTCTCCAATGGAGACGTTACTGGGCCCGCTCGAGCAAATCGATGATCAACGGGAGGGCCTTTACCTTTACCTTTACCTTAAATTTAGACATAGATAATATTTGAATGAATGAGTGATAAAGTTCTTTAGAAAAGCAAGCCACGTTTTGCACATGGGTGTAAGTTGCTCTGATTTATTATATTAATCCTTTTCCTAGAGTTTTTAGAAAATTGTCCCATTTTTCTGTTTTGTTGGGTCACAATTGATGGTGCTTAGGGGTTACTCCTGGCTCTGAGCTCAAGAATCACTCTTGGTGGGGTTCAGGGGACAATATGAGGTGCTATAATCAAACCCAGGTTGGTCACAAGCAAAGCAAGCACCTACTAACTTTACTATCTCTCCATAAAGACGAAGAAAACATTTAGAAACCCTTGAATAACTTTGGTGTGTGTTAAGAAAGTAAGAAGAATTTTTTTCTCCAATTCTTCTGTATTTCTCATGAAAAAATTTTTTTTGTTAATTGTTTATTTAATTTTCAGAAGTTTATTATTTATTTATTTAGATTTTATTGAATCAAAGTAAGCTTTCATGTTTTAGTTACAATCACACAATGATCAAACACCCATCCCTTCACCAGTGCACATTCCCCACCACCAATCTCCCCAGTATACCCCCCTCCCACCCTCTCCTAATTTTTAGAAGTTTAAATACTAAGTCTGTTATGGTCCTAGATATGTCACTAGCTACAGTCATCCCGGGAATATACATGAAAATAGTCCTTTACAGTTAACAGAGGAACATTGTCATGAGGCTTTCCTTTCAACCTTTTTCTACCTCCATGAAAAACTGAAAAAGCGTGAGGAGGAGAATGGAGAAAACAGCTCAATGAGCAGACCACACACCGCATGCAGGAGGCTCAGGTCTGATATCCAGCACCACCTGGTCCCCTGAGCAACATAGGGAGTGACTCCCTATATATGGTACTGGGATATAAAGCCAGGAAGCATTAAAACTTACCTCCCTTCCCTGACAGGTACAATGTATATCTATCAGGCACTTCCTAAACATACACTTCTCTTAACTGTATGAACAAAAGCAAAGTTGAGCAGGGCACTACCCCAGTGCCCTGCTGTAGTGAACAGGTGAATCTTAATTTTAACTTCACATCTATGGTCAGTACAAACTTGCTAATTCACTTAAATCTTTCTGGGCTTTAACTTCAGACAAAAACCAAGATAATATCTGCCATTTCTCCCTCTTAGGATTGTGTCGAGTTCAATATGATAATAAGTATGAAAGTGGCTTTGAGATTTCTAAACATATAAATATTATATAAGATGCTCATAATTAGAAAGATGAGGTGGTGGGGAGGGCCAAAAGATTTTGGGAACACACTGAGGATTGCTACGAGCAGCATCACAGGGGTAAGTCCACTAAAGCAACAAAAACTTCCTGGAAGAAGAGTTCTGTTACAAGTTAAAAATTTCACTGTGTCCCCAGTTTCTGTGATATATTGATCAAGATAGATGTAGTTAACACAAAATAAAAAGTAACTTACTTTTAACACAATAAGGAAGCTTACAATTCTGTGGACATTGGTTTCTCCCTAAAATCGGACAGTCTAGTACAGCAGGTAGGGCACTTGTCTTGCACATAGTTTACCAGGGTTTGATCCCTGGCATCCCATGAGTCCCCAGAGCACCACCAGGAGTAATTCCTGAGTGCAGAGCCAGGAGTAACCCCTAAGCACTGTCAGGTGTGACCCAAAAACCAGAAAACAAGCAAAATGTTTTATTTAAAGGAACAAAGTTCATTTACTTGAAAATAATTGAAAATGTTGGCCAAAAAGGTTATAGTATAGATGAGGTAATTGATTACTAGTTATCAAGTCTACTATTGCAATAGGTGATCTGACCTATATTTTAAGTAATATAGCTGTTTTGAAAAATTAGTTGCTTTAATAGATTCCTACCCAACCCCCATAACTTTTCATATAAGTTTCCATATCCCAGTTAGAAAATGTATTAAGTAGAGATTTACAACGTTTTGGGGGGCCAGAAGGGGTGGTCAGAGTTCAAGGCACTTGTGTTTTGGGACACTGTTTCTATCCTTTCTTTTTTGGTTCCCTGAGCATGAACTCAGGGCCTCGTACTTGTAAAGTATGAGCTCTGCTGTACTATCTTTGTGTATGTGTGTTTGGGGGCGGGGGTGGGGGGAGGCGCTCCCAAGCAGTTCTAAGAGAGCCTGGAGACCACTTCTGGAGGTACTTGGCCAACTAGAAGTGGTCCAGTGCTAGAGTCTAAGAATATGGGGCTGCTCCCACTCTTGTTTTCTCCATTCTGATGTGTGTCTTAAAATTCTAGCTCAGAAACTGTGTCTGTGATTGACCACGCTCCAGGTCTTGGGAGTTTTAAATGACCAGAGTTTCTTAACTGGGGTCCATATGGTTCCCTGTGTGCCTCCAGAATATTCCAAGGGGGCTCTAAGTGAAAAATTCTGTGAATGGAGCCCCACAGCATGAGACTAGGGGACTAAGAGGCAGGACGGGAGGATCACAGGAAGGAAACATGGTTGGAAGGGGCCACAGTTGGGAAAAGATTGAGAAACACTGGTCTAGACCATCTTAGAAATATTAAAATTTAGTTTGCTTATTTTCTTAAATCCTTGGGTTAGGAATCCATATTGTTTGCTGCTTGAAACTAATAAAACTAGAATGTGTTGAGAAACCAGTTCCGTTGGTTGTGCCCAGAACATAGCTGAATTTTGCCAGACTTTCTCCTGGAGCAAGGAAGTTAGTAGTGTTTCCAGGGGCTAATAGCTGTTGCCAGTGTTGAAATCTGCCTGCCAAGGTTGCCCATTGTTCCATTATTTGGTTTTAGCAATTACCTGCGTGAGAAAATGATAGAATGAGTAATTAAAAAAAAAAAGAGCTATTTAATGGCCTTTGCTCCCCCAACACACACACACACACACACACACACACACACGCACGCACGCACGCACGCACGCACACACACTCCAACACCCATCTCTTCTTGACTTGCAGGGGCAAGTTTATGGGTCAGCTGTCCCTGTGGTCCTGGGCTCAGCAATCCATGACCAATGTATTGTTTCTTTTATTGAAACAAACAGTTTTTTTCTGATTGGCAGTGTCAGGAGGCCTGCTTTATTGGAAGCTTGT